CGTTGTGTTATCTCCATTTTCATTGTGTTCTTCATCTCGTTCGTTCCTCTCGCTGTTCAAGAATTGACAGAGCGAGGTGTGTGGCGTATGGCTACCCGTCTGGCTAAGCACTTTGGTTCATTCTCCTTCATGTTCGAAGTGTTTGTCTGCCAAATCTACGCCAACGCTGTTCATCAGAACTTGTCTTTCGGAGGTGCGCGCTACATCGGTACAGGTCGTGGTTTCGCTACTGCCCGTATTCCCTTCGGTGTGCTCTACTCGCGTTTCGCTGGTCCCTCCATCTACGCTGGTGCTCGTCTCTTGCTGATGCTCTTGTTCTCCACCACCACTGTCTGGACTCCTGCCCTCATTTGGTTCTGGGTTTCTCTGCTCGCGCTGTGCATCTCGCCGTTCCTGTTCAACCCTCATCAGTTTGCCTGGAACGACTTCTTCATCGATTACCGTGACTACATCCGCTGGCTGTCGCGTGGTAACTCCCGATCGCACGCATCTTCCTGGATTGGTTTCTGTCGTCTCTCGCGTACCCGCATTACTGGATACAAGCGCAAGCTTCTTGGTGTTCCATCCGAGAAGGGCAACGGAGATGTTCCCAGAGCGCGTATCACCAACATCTTCTTCAGTGAAATAATTGCGCCTCTGGTCGTTGTCGGTGCCACCCTGATTCCCTACCTGTACATCAACTCCCGGACCATGTTCTCTGATGACAACAAGTGGGCGGCGAACCCCATCGCTCGTATTGCCATCGTCGCTTTCGCCCCGATTGGTATCAACGCTGGTGTTGCGGGCATGTTCTTCGGTATGGCTTGTTGTATGGGTCCCATCTTCGGCATGTGCTGCAAGAAGTTCGGTGCTGTCCTCGCCGCCATAGCTCACGCCATCGCCGTCATTGCCTTCCTCATCTTCTTCCTGGCCATGTTCGTTTTGGAGTCTCTCAACTGGCCTCGAACCATCTCTGGCATGATCGCCGTCATGGCTCTGCAGCGATTCATCTACAAGCTCATCATTTCTCTTGCCTTGACCCGTGAGTTCAAGAATGATCAATCCAACATTGCTTGGTGGACGGGTAAATGGTACAACATGGGTTGGCACTCGCTTTCCCAGCCTGGACGTGAATTCCTTTGCAAGATCACCGAACTTGGTTACTTCGCCAACGATTTCGTCCTCGGCCACATTCTCTTGTTTGCGATGCTTCCAGCCCTCGCCATTCCCTACGTTGACAAGTTCCACTCTGTCATTCTGTTCTGGCTCCGCCCCAGGTAAGTTACTAAAAAACACCCTCTCTTCAACTTGATTCTAACAAATGTTCTTAGTCGGCAAATCCGCCCCCCTATCTACTCACTGAAGCAGTCCAAGCTGCGCAAGAGACGTGTTGTTCGTTTCGCCATTCTCTACTTCGTCATGCTCGTCATATTCGTTGTAATCGTCGCCGCCCCCATCGTTCTGCGCAACACCAAGATGCTGGACAACTTCCTCAAGGACACTCTCTGGGGTGTAATCGGTGTTCAGAAGCAGGGTGCTATTGGACTTCTCCAACCTCTGGACCATGGACTTAACGACACCGTCAAATGGTACACAGGCAGCGGTCTTCCCGGTGGTTACTCATCCTCGGCCATCCCTACGCCTTCTGCCGGCTCAGATAGCTGGTACATTTAAGGCCTCGACATGATATGGGGATGGTATGTACAAAGTTCTGCGTTTATTAAAACTCGCTGCATTTTTCTGAACTCACCGGCGCACACGTTGATCTTAATGAATGCCTGTTTTTCAAATACTGTTTGTGGATTGACGCTTGTATGAAGGGTCTTGTCATCCCGGGGGTTTACCTTCGTTTCCAGCTTTCTTTGCTTGTTTTATTTACACTTCCCACGGAATTAAATTGCATTGCTTTCGAGATAAATTAAATCGACTGTTAGACCACCCTTTCTGAACGATCGTAGTCATAGTGGACTCCGTACTCCGTAGTCATGCAGTATATGAAACAGGTCACGTGCCCCTGTGTCCAGGACTACGGATCATCCGTTTCATCCACATTTCATCACCGTGAGCAAGCACATGTCCATTGCGCCGTTCTAAACCCGGATCCCCCTTTCTACCTCACCGGCCGGGCATATTGCAAACAACCAGGGAACCCACCTGACTCCCTCGCTATGGATCTTCAGGAGACTCAGCGTGTCCTTTCCGAACATCTGCACAACCTCGCGGACTTATTCCACCGCGTGCCAGGCTCCGCAATTTTCCTCCGCTATGTGAAATCAAGCTATCAAGATGATCCCATCCGCTCCGCCGTCGAACTCTTCCTGTTCCTGTTTGCCGTGCGCTACCTGCTCGCCCCGAAGTACTCGACCAAGCCCGGCGTCGTGCCACTGACGGAAGACGAGATCGATGACTTGGTGGACGAATGGACTCCCGAACCTCTTGTCGGGAATCCGACAAGTCTGGAAGAGATGGAAGTCGACAAGCGGACAGTAATCGTCGGGTAAATATTCCCTCTTCAATTGATGTTCCTCAGTTATGCCTCCGCGGACAATTTGCTAACGGATCATCACGGGATGCACAGCCCCGTAGGCCCCAAATCCAAACTCGCCAACGGCCGCACAGTGATGAACCTAGGCTCTTTCAACTTCTACAACTTCAACACGAACGAGGCTCTGAAGGAACAGGCTATCCAGACTCTCCGCGCGTACGGCGTTGGACCTTGCGGTCCGCGTGGATTCTACGGTACGCAGGATGTGCACATGAAGACCGAAGACGATGTATCGGCGTTCCTGGGTACTGCCGCTTGCATTATCTATTCCCAGGCCTTTTCGACTATTTCCAGTGTTATTCCGGCTTTCTCGAAACGTGGAGATATCATCGTTGCCGATAAGGGCGTTAGTTTTGCCATTCGGAAGGGTATTCAGATCTCCAGAAGCATTGTTCGCTGGTATGAGCATAATGATATGGAGGATCTTGAGCGCGTGCTTGCCAAGGTTACTAAGGAGCAGGCGAGGAAACCTTTGACTCGGCGGTTTATTATTACTGAGGGTCTCTTTGAGTCTTATGGTGATATGGCTGACTTGCCTAAGATTGTATGTGACCTCTTTTGACTGGAAAGTGCGATAGTTTTGCTTACTTTGCCTCGCAGATTGAACTGAGACTCAAGTACAAGTTCCGTCTGATCTTGGATGAGACATGGTCTTTCGGTGTCCTTGGACGTACCGGCCGTGGTATCACAGAGCACCAGAACGTCGATGCGGCTGAGGTTGATATGATTGTGGGATCGCTGGCTGGTCCCCTTGTTGCCGGTGGTGGCTTCTGTGCTGGTTCAGAGGAGATTGTTCACCACCAGCGGATTTCCGCTGCCGCTTATACTTTCTCCGCTGCCCTTCCTGCGCTGCTGTCCACTACTGCTAGTGCCACTATCAACATCCTTCAGAACAGCCCTGAGACCGTGACGCAACTCCGTGACCTTACCAAGGCCATGCGCGCTCAGCTCGATCCTCGCAGTGACTGGGTTTACTGCTCCAGCTCGCCTGAGAACCCTATTCTCATCTTGGTTGTTAAGCCTGAAGTTGTTGCTGCCAAGAGGCTCACGCCTACCGACCAGCAGTTCCTCCTTCAGGATGTCGTTGACGAGGTATGCATTGCGTTTCCCTTATTACTCCTTTCGGGTCTAGTATCTAACTTCTCCACAGTGTCTGGCCAACGGTGTCCTCATCACACGCCTGAAGACCTTAGAGGACAACTTTGAGCCCAAGCAGGTGGTCCCGCCAGCTCTGAAGGTGTGCGTCACGACCGGTCTCACCAAGAAAGAGATCGAGAAGTCAGGCACAATCATCCGGCACGCCATTACCAAGGTGATGAGCAAGAGGAAGTGATTAATATCTTACCTTCCCTTGTTTGAATCTTGGTCTTGCCCGGCCATCCGATGACTGCTCACGCCCCTATGACCTTGGCATCTTATCACTTTCCTTCCTCTCAGTCGACCTACGACCTAATGCCCTTCAATCCGTGTATTGTTAACCTTGTCGATATACATTCTTCTTGCATGCCTTGCACAGGACCGCCCTTTTCTCTTCCGGGCTGGATTTGCTTCTCGCTTAGCCTGTGTGCTTGGTTTAGATTGTTTAATACTATCCTTCTTTTCCCTTGGCTTTTTGCTGAGTGGCTTGTGTCTATTTGCATACATTATTCATCCCAGGACAAAACTCCATGTACTCATGGAGCGAATGCTATTTTTCTGCGTCTGACTTCTTTCGAGACCCCCTATAGTAAGGTTCACAATGCAATGTTCGAACTAACGTCTAGATCGATCAAACCCCAAAAGAAACCCCCGAGATCTACACTCAGTGCCGTCTATCCGATGTTACCTACCAATCTTTAAAACAAAACCCTAATGTACCAAGATTAGCCTCCTAGAACCACCCCCTTCAACCCCCCTTCCGATCAAACACCAAAACCCCCAAATTCCCATTAACATTCACAGAACCCTCCATATCACTGCGCAACATCCAAAAATGCACCCCACATTCCACAAGGAACGCAACACGAATGACATTCCAAGCCCACCCATCCCAGATTTCATCCATACGCCATAGTGTACAGGATAGCCCTAACTCCCGATCTCACCCAAGGGATTCCATCGTAACTCAGAAGTTCCAGATCCCATTCCACATGTCCAAGAACCCCAGCCCCGCCCCTGTGCCTGCTCTCCCTTGTGTTTACATGCTCCACTGTCATAGTGGCGACGTAGATGCTTTTGTATTCTGCGATATGGGGTTGATATAATGTCATTGATCGACACTCCACGGGGACTAGGTTATGCACTACCTCTGTCTCCTTTCCTTTTTTTGGGCTGTAAACGGATGATTGAATAAAGACGCCATTTGTGTTGGGATCGACTCGTCTTACTACCTTTGGATCTTGTTGAGGAATTGTGATTGCGATTCTGATACTGTACTCGGTTTTCGGTTTCCTTTAGCGTTGACTTTTGCCTGGGCAGGGATCTGCCTACGGTAGAAATGAAGCGCCTATGCCTTACTCGGGCATTTGTTGGGCTGGTTCTTGCTTGGGGTGTTTGTGCCGATGTCCAGGGTAAGCATAGATCCAATGCAGTCGATGCCTATTCCCATCTCGAATCTATAGATGTCTTTGCTGATGGCTGTTTCTATAGATCACCAATTATGTCAAGGCGATCTCGCTCCTTCAACCTCTGTTAGAGAGGTCGTTGTCTGGGTTAATGAAGATGGTGTTCCTATTACTCCGGACAGCAAGCATGTTCAGGCTTCGATAGCATCAGAGCATGGAAATGTTAGTAGATCTATTCCGTCCTGATGGTTGGAATCGTTGTTGATTGTTTGATCGACAGCCTGCGCAGACTCAGTCTTCAGTATCACTTCCTGATACAGATGTCTCGCGCTTGGCATCGACATCGACTGCTTCTAGGAAGGATAATGATATGAATGATCGTTCTGTTGATGCTCCTCCGAAGGGCCAACATCCTGCTCCTCCACCAGCAGCAGCACCAGCAGCAGCAGCAGCACCTCCTCCTCCTCCGCCGCCACCACCCCCTGCTGCTGCTCCTCCCCCTCCAGCTGGTCCACCCGCTCCTCCACACCCTCATTACCATCCTCACCCACCACCACACCCACACGGCCACCCAAAACCGCACCAACCCCCCCATTTACCCCCAAACCAAAACGAAGCCGGCGGCTTCGGAATCTCCTACTCCCCTTACAGAGCCGACCGCACCTGCAAAAACCAAGAAGAAGTAAACAAAGACTTAAACGGCCTATCACGCTACAGCTTCGTCCGAATCTACGGCACAGACTGCGACCAAACAAAAACCGTCTCGCACGCCGCACACCAGTACAACATGCGCGTCTTCGCAGGGATCTACGACCTAACCGATTTCCCAAACAGCCTATCAGCCTTCCGCGAAGCAGCCCCAACAGGACCAGACGGCAAGAAAGACTGGTCAACCTTCCACACCATCGCAATCGGCAACGAACTAGTAAACGGCGGCACGAACAACCCAGCCGAGGTAGTCCGCGCAGTGAACCAAGCACGCTCGATCCTCCGCTCACAGGGATACGAGGGCCCGGTGGTAACAGTCGATACGTTCTCCGTCTTACTCGACCACCCGGAATTATGCGACGCGAGTGATTACTGCGCGGCGAATTGTCATGCTTTCTTTGATGCGAGTCAGAGTCCTGGTGGGGCCGGTGCGTATGTTCTTGAACAGGCGCGTAGTATCTCTGCTGCGGCGAATGGGAAACATACTATGATTACTGAGTCTGGGTGGCCGCATGCTGGGGATGCGAATGGGGGTGCTGTTCCTTCGGTTGAGAATCAGAGGGTTGCTATTGAGAGTCTGCGGAGGAGTTTTGGGCATCGGAAGGATGATTTGGTGCTTTTTACTGCTTTTGATGATCTTTGGAAGGATGATAATAGTTTCACTTTCAATGCTGAGAAGTTTTGGGGGATTAACGGTGGTCTTTAGGGCTTGGTTTCATGATGGCTTTGCTTTTCTCCTTCTTCCTGACTTCGTTTAGGGATTTGCTTCTTTGCTTTTGATTCGATATTCTTGCATTTGTACATAGATTGTGCATGAGATGACTAGATAGCTCAATGACGAAGAATGAGACCTCGATATTCACGTTTTGAAGATGACATTCGCTTCAATGGTATTATTTTACACTATGGCGGAGACTATACATTAATTTACATGTCCATACAAGGGCGAGAGAAGAAATCAACCGCGGAAATCGCGATGACTTTCCTTCCGACGAGCATCCTCCTCAGCGCGAGCCTCGACCTTATCCATCCATCCACCGCGACAAGTAAGCGCCTCAAATGCCTCCTTGTTAGAAGGCAAATCCCAGAAAGGGTGCTCACCACCCCCGGCCTTCTGATGCGCCTCCAAATCCCGATTGCGGCGAATAACAAGCGCGGTCAACATGCCCCTCGACTTATTACTCGGCGTCAACCCAATAACCTCCATCTCACGCAACAAAGACACAACACCAGGAAGATCCTTACACCCACGCCAATGGAAGTAAAGCATTTCATCATAAAGACCAGACGAAGCACCAAGCAGGGCAGACAACCGGCCATGCTCTTTGATATTCGAGCGGAACTGCCCGATAAGCGGGGAATCAGGGAAATGTGTGTTCAGCAGACGGAACGCGATCAGCAGCGTCTTCGGGTATAACGTGGCTACGACCGGTGCGACGGGCACGACGGCCGGGACGCGGAGTGGTCCTGCCGTTCGAGGGATGTTGCGCGCTGGTTGGCTTTCGACGTGCTGCAGCATGGAGAAGATGCGTGCTTTGCATACTTCCCACACGCCCATGTCGCCTTTTCCTTCTTCGATTGCTTGGAAGAGGGCGAATTCGATGTGTTCGGATTCGCGTTGCACGACCATGTCGATTGCTTCTTTCATCGTGATTGTTATCGCCGCCCCGGATGTTGCTGCTTCTGTGTAGCCCAGGTCGTCGATGTTGATTCTTTGGGGGCCTTTGTCTTCGGTGGCTTCTTCTTCCGTTGCAGGTCGTTCTGGTGTTGGGGTGTATTTTGGCAGTTCCTCCTTTTGACAGCGGGCTTTATTCTTCTTCATATTTGAATCTTGTAGTAACGAGTCGAATACTGACATGAGCTCTGATATCTCGGCTTGTTTCTCTGGGCTCAGTGGTTTTGATTGTGAATCCGTTTCGCCATTTTCTCCGCGCTTGACATTCAGCTTTTCTAATAGGTTTTTGAAAGTCGCCTTTTCCTGTGAGGTGATCTTCTTGGTCTTTATCTTCGGCGCAGGTTGCCTTGAGCCCAATGGCCTGCCGGAGGAGACAGATGCTGCCCGTTTTTGTAGATAGCTCCTCCGCGGTTTCGGGGGTTCATTCGTCTCGAAGCCAATGGAGATATCTTTGTTCGTGGGTGGTTTATCCTCCGGCGCATCGTTCGTTGCTAGTGTGCCACTGCGTGTAGAAAACGTCCGTTGGTGTAGACGATTGAACGGTCGTAAGGAAGGTGTCGCCGCGGTAATCGTTGCCGTGTGATATAGAAAAGGCGCCGAGCTTGCGGTCACACCTAGAAAGCACCGACGTGTGACGTTTGTCGCCATTGCAGCGTCTTCAGCTAGTGGTCTCTCCCACTTTCTCTCACTCTCGCTTTCGCGCTTTCGCAAACGCAACCCAGCTTCTTCAACTGACACTTCTCGAATGAAACGCAGCTCGGAGTAAGATCCTGACACTCCTTTGCGTGTACTCTGCAACCGCATGAAAGAAGAAGACAAGATCGAGAGTATCCAGCTCCAGCACGGACTTTGAACGTCTACTTTTTTTTGCCGCAATAAAGGTCACATGATCTCGCGCGAGCAGCAAACGCGCCTCCGCGTCGGAGAGGATCCGGCCGATCCTCCTCGGACTCCAGAGAGCAGAACCAAATCTGCTTCTGCTGAAAACGATTGGGATTCAGACTCTTCCGACAATATGCCTGAGATCTCTGACTTCGAGAAGGAGCGATTGGCGAACATCGCCGAGCGCGATGCGCTGCTCAAACAACTTTCTCTTGATTCAAAATCCGCCGGTCTTTTCGCGACTCCCCCCAAGCCCCCGGGCAGCGGTGGCTCGAAGCCAAAGAAACGCCCCGCCCCCAAGCGCGTGAAGAAAGAAGAAGAGGACACGACCCCTCGCCGCACCTCCTCCCGCCTGAAGGGAATCGCCGCCGAGAGCGAAGTCGCAAAGCGCAAGGCAGACGATGAACTCGACGCCCTGCGCGAGGCCGAGCGCGCCAAGCGAATTCGCCGCACCGATTCCTTTACTCAAGCCGATATGTTTGTCGCCGGACAGAAGCTCACCGGAGCCGATTTGATCGGCGTGGATGTGATTACCAAGGGCGTCGCAAAGCCGTATGAACGAACTTTCGACAGTGCCGATATCGAGAAGACCACCGACAAGGATTTGAAGGCAATTCGGAAGGAGATGAACGGCATGAAGCTGTGGGATGCTTGGGATCCGCAGCGTAAGAACCTTGTTCTTTATATTGCCAAGAGTCTTTGCTAACGTGCGATTGAATTGTCGTAGGTATCAAGATTACCCCGGAGCGTGTGTATGCGATGGCTTTCCACCCGTCTGAGTCGAAGCCTCTTATCTTTGCCGGTGACAAGATGGGCCACCTTGGTATGCTGGATGCTTCACAGGAGAAGCCCACCGTTAATGAGGATGATGAGGATGAGGATGATCCGGACCCTGTCTTAACAACTCTGAAGCCGCATACACGCACTATTAGCTCGATGATTGTTAACCCTTCGAAGCCGACTCACCTGTACACTGCCAGTTACGACAGTTCGATCCGCGAGTTGGATCTGGAGAAGATGACCTCGTCTGAGAAGTACGCACCGGAATCCACCAATATCGACGAGGCAGTCTCTGCCGTGGATATGGTGGCGGACGATCCAAACACTTTGTACTGGACGACTCTGAATGGTGAATTTGGTCGATACGATATGCGCATGCCTCTCAAAGAGAGCAACGTCTCGTCGTGGCAACTGTCGGAAAAGAAGATCGGCGGATTCACACTGTGCCCCTCGCAGCCACACTTTGTTGCGACAGCGAGCTTGGACCGTTTCCTGCGCCTGTGGGACCTGCGCAAGTTGTCGTTTGACAATCCGGTGCCCGTCGCCGAGCATGAAAACAGACTGTCAGTGTCACACGCTGCATTCAACGCAGCTGGTCAAATTGCGACCAGCTCATACGACGACACTATCAAGATCTATGATGTCGGCGCTAAAGGTCTCTCATCATGGAAGGAAAAACACACTCTCCAAGATGGCGACTTCACCCCCGACACAGTCGTCCGGCACAACTGCCAAACAGGACGCTGGGTGACAATGTATGTTCGTTTAAACAAGTCCATGTCTGTTTTATCGGTTTTTGCTTTTTTTTTTTTCTTTCTTTACTTCTTTTCTTGCGTGTCTTGCGTTGCGTTGTTTATCTTTTTCTTGACAACAGAGCCCTAACTGACATTGTTTCTCTTAGTCTCCGCCCCCAATGGCAACAGAACCCTCAGTCACCGATCCAACGATTCTGTATCGGTAACATGAACCGTTTTGTCGACATCTACAGCAGCAGTGGTGACCAACTTGCTCAGCTTGGTGGTGATGGCATTACTGCTGTCCCTGCGGTGGCTGTATTCCACCGGAGTAAGAACTGGGTTGCTGGTGGTACTGCTAGTGGCAAGCTTTGCTTGTGGCAGTGATTAAATTGTGGACTTGAACTTTTTTACCATTTGAATCCTTGAATTTGAGCGAGAACGTTTTCTGTTTTCTGTTTTCTGTTTTCTGTTTTCTGTTTTCTGTTTTCTGTTTATCCATACATCCGGGATGGATTTATGGACTCTTGATCCTCGGTGGGTTGTCCGATTACATTTCCGTGTTTTGAGTCTTTGAGCCATGGCAGTGCCTGATCGGTGTTGCTGAGAGTGTGATTCCAATATTGTTCGATTCTTTTGTGTTTTGAGTAAGTTACTGCATGTATGTGTACGTGTGATGGTCAAATCCAAATGTACAAAGGAAGTAATTGTCAAAGAAGAATATCGCTTTCCACGTTCGTTTCTTTAGGTATCTAATACTGTGTCTCTGTCAAACATGCCGTGTGTACCTGTACCTTGATATGGAACCCCAATCAAAAGGGAAACACCAATCCATTCCATCTATTGGAAGAAACACGAAAAGTATAGAGGTATTTACACAATGGCCACCATCTCCAAAGGGAATCCAAACACAAAGATAGAAGGGACCCCATTGAAAAGGATCTGACAAGGTCCAACCAAAAGGAGAAAAAAGATATCACAAGGACCTCCCTTCCTCAAGCGAGATAAACCAGATCATCGTGTTCCTTAGATTTAATCCCCCAAAAGAGTCAAGATCTTACTTTTTAGTTCTCTCTTTTTTTGTGTCTCTTGCCTTTTTCTTTCTTCGAGAGACGGGGTTGGAGTTGGAGGGAGGGCGATGTGTATAAGGGAGGGGGTGGGACCATGAAAACACACAATCAAAAAGAGGGAAAGGGTATCAACACCGTGACACATGCTTCGGGGGATGAACATAGAGATAGATGATCGAACAAGCACAGGGTACGGGACGGGGAAGGCATGAAGGAAGATGGAAGATGGAAGAGAGGAGTAGAGGGAGAAATGAAAAACGTTCAAATCATGAGCACATGGGAAGCGGTCAGAGAGGAAAGGACGGAAGCGAAAAGCGCATAAGGGAGAGGAAGGAAAAGACATGCAAGGACATTCGAGCACTAAGATTCATTGCGCAGATCCTCATGCGAGTTGTTGTTTTGAGACTGGTCACGGTCCTTGTGTTTGCGTCGGGATGGGGCAGGGACAAAGTCGAAGAAGCGATACTTGCTGGATGATTCCTTGGTGACACTGGCCCTACGTACTTTGGAGGTGTCGGAATACTCCAGTGAGTATGTTGAGGAGTTCTTGGAGCTTCCGGTGCTATCGCGTGCATCAGACCAACGTGGGATGGCGAACGGAATGCGGCTTTGATCCCATGTAGCGGACGATGAACTTGGTGGTGTATCTTCGTCAGCATCAGGAGCGTGGTCGGTGGAACGGCGGGGGATCGAAGGCCGCGAAGCGAAGTAGCCGATGGAGTTGCGGTGGCTGCTTGGGGCCGGCGCTGAACCGGACATCATTGGATCTGCTGCAGGGGTTGATGGTTGGCTCGAGCGTTCGTCGTAAAAGGTAACAGGTCGCTCCATTGAGTCCACCAATTCCTCCCACTTGATCTCGAGACTTCCGCTCGGCCGCTCAGCTTGCTCCGCTCGACTTAGACACTCCTCCGTACGTGCCCGCAGATCAAGGGCTGTTTGGTGGAACTTGGCAAGGTTGACATCCAGCTCCCCTAGATCATTCAACCGAGCCGGGGCCACGTCAAGCCACACACGAATCAAGTTTGCGAAGCATCGAGCATGATCGATAAGGAACGGAAGGCTGGGGAAACCCTCGCGCGACGTCGGAGGCAACCGTCCAAGGATTTGGATAGGGGTGGTGTAGGAAGGTGTGACAATAGGAGCTGGTCGATCGGCTGGAATTGCACAGATGGAGTCGACGAAATCTTTGAAGTCCGAGCGATGGCCAACAAGGAATTTGTTCATAGGCTCCATCCAAGGTTCCTTGTTACCAAACGTCGTCATATTAGCCAGTCCCTGCAGGGCCTTGGCGATAAGCGTAAGAGTGCGCTGTGCACGAGGACGAGGGTGGTCTTTCAAAAGCCCGAAGAGTTTCGGGTTCAAAATAGCCGGACAAAAGAACCGCAAGAACAAGAAACCTGAAACACTGCTGTATGTCACAGACCGTAAGAAATCTCCATAGCGGTCATCTGCACACGCCCTAACATGCCGGAAGATACGACGCAATTCTGGGGGACACCTCGATGCAGACCCAGCGATAGACTTCCACACACTGGTGGTGAGAGCCGTAAGATTTCGCCAGTTGCGCTCAAGATCCTCGTGGCGTGGAACACGAGATGGGTCGACTTCGCATTCCGGATCACTTTCATCGATATCACGTAGTCGTTCCGCGATAGTGTCATCAAGATATTGCTTGCCTAGACGACGCATGTGGAGGTCCAGGGCCTTGGTCAGAAGTGAGTTTCCACGGAATAGAAGGTTGGCCTCGACAGTGGCCGTCCTTCCCATATCTCTAACGAGAACTTCGCGTTCCTGGCCTGACTCCTGAGAGTTGTTGGAATGTATTCTCGTTGTATATCTCAGTCGGTTGGTAGTGGATTCTTTGTGAACCCCGTCGATTTCATCTTCAACCAATGCTGAGATCCATTCCACCGTTGATCCTGAGACTTGATAGATGTTCAGAAGCATCTCGGCTAGATGTGTTAGCTCTGATGACATCACTTGAGCCATGTTGATTGTGAGACCGTTGGTGAAAGAGTGGAGAAGCTCGGACATTGGTGCGTACTCGTCCGACATCAAGACAACGGTTTCCTCCATTCGAGCTCTCATGAACATCTCACCCACTGCTTGGTCTTGGTCGTCCAGGATTGGCCACCACTTTTCAGTATCCACGCCGGCATCCAATTCTTCGAGTCGCATGTCTACCCGGCCGAAGATGGCGTCGTTCGCGGAGATTTCGATCTCATCCAAAAGATTCACGGCGTTCACGGCGTTCACGTCTTGATTGGATGCTCCGTGGGCGATGAGTGTCCAATCCTTCTGAGTCGGGTTGAGGGTTTTGACAAGGATGGAAGCTTGGGATAGAACTGGCGGTAGATCACTGAAGACGAAATCCTCTCGCCAGAAAGGGTTCGTGGTGCGATATTTGACAGCAGTCTTGCCGCGAATTTCCCCATCTAGGAGCACCTCTGTGTAATAGTCGCTGACCTTGGAGGTCGGGGTTTGTTGGCCATGACCATGTGACCTTGACGCCTTTCGGCTTCGCGGGGTATCCTCTTTGGCGCGAAATAGCTTGGCCTCGACGATCTTCAAATTTAAGAATCGTTCAATCCGGAACATGTCTTTGAGTACGGGCGTCACGGTCGCATCGGCTTCTGGTGTCTTGTTGGGATCTTCGGTTTTAGATGCAGGGCCATAGAGTTCTGGAATTGTGAAGGCGCGTAGAAGGACAAACCACACCTCGAAGAGTACGCGGCTTTCCAGGGCGAGGTATATAGGACGAACATTCGAGTCGGGTACGGGGTGTGCCGCATACTGTGGGTAAATAGCAATACAGAATTCATCATCGAGAACGGACGGGTTCAGCTGCTGGATAGCACAGCGAGACAATTGAGATAGTTGAACGCATGCCAAGAGGGACACATCGGTCTCAGTGTAAAGTTTGAAGAACCCGTTCTCTTGTAGCGTGCAACTCACCTTCTGCCACGAGGAAGACAGAGCCCTTGACTGTCGATACGTAGACACCCGGCGTCCAGATATCGGCATTGCTCCCGAAGCAGATGGTTTATCCCAGAGAAGCATCTTGCCAACTTTGATGATAGTTGCGTCCTTTTGTGCTGCGCTTTCCGAGTTGCGTCGACGTTCGGGGATACGGCGGTCTCCAATCACGACCTCTTGAGGCTTTGTCATTTTGTTTTGTACACCCTTTGGTCGGATTGGTTGCCAGCAGAGTAGGGCAGCAAGCCACGAATCAAACGTTTCGTTCACGTGGGGGCGTAGTTGTATCCCAAGTCCGGAGGTAAATGTGTGGACGCTAAGATAGGTAGTCTGAAGCTCAGGATCAAACAATGTTCGAACTCGACAGCCACGCAAATCGGGGATCAGTGTCTTGGCCAATGCTGGTTCTCCTTTCGCTTGGTAGATCAGACTTCCAGTAGCGACATTGATAGCGCAGTACCCGGAAGTCCACGAAGTGGTGGAGGCCGTTCGAAAGGACAGGATTCCATGCATCCTCCCACACGTAGTCTTCATCAATTGGAGGATTTTTGTGGCTTCGGAGCTCGAAAGGGGTGATGCGAAAGAGTCTTGGCTGTCTGCAATTCCAGTAACCGGTTTGCTTGATCGCTGGCGCGGGACCGAGTGGCTGTGATATTGCCTGGATTGAATTGATGGAAAACCGATCGAACTTGAGGGATCCTCAGGCACCTTTGGCTGTGATGGACTGGCTGTGTTGATTGATCCGATTCGCGTGCGAGTTTTGAAGGAGCTGGGGGTGGTCTCGTTTCGCTGTTCCTCCGCTGCCGTTGTTCGTGATCGCGCCCGTTGACTTCTTCCCTCTGGTGGTGTATCTTCCTCGCCACCCCTAGAAGAGTGTTTGCTGAACTCCCGACGCCGCTCAGGCTCGGTGGGCCGTGATGGCAAGGTGCTTTGAGGGGACGAGGTGCCGCCGCTTAGAGGGTCGGGTTCGGATAGGGGGGAGTGGTTGGCGGGGGAGTGCGACTCTGGCGTCACGGTTCGAATCGTGGTTTCTCGGAAACTGTCGGGATAGACCATCCCATGTCGATCCCTGGATGAGGATTTCTTGCTGGCACGCCGTTCGACTGGGCGACTATATAACGCTTGCTGCATTGAGCTCCGCTTGAACGCGTTCGGATCGGGCTCCATTTCGTTTGGGTATGTGCAGCCCCTTCCAGGCGACGTACAAACGAAAATGAAACCCGTTCAATGTGAGGCAGGGAGAAAAAGGAAGTTCCTAATCGCGCCCAACACTCTCACAACCGGTGAGAAGCCCTTGACACGTCGGCACGGTATAATTGGAGGTCTAGGATTATGCTATGAGACCACATGGAGTCCGGTGAGAGGTGTATCGGGGTCGCACATTCGGTCGAGGTCCGGGAGGGGGCAGCAATGGGCAGGGCGAAGGAGGCGTATGTCTGAGAGATGCAGGAGAACCTAGCGAATGCGGTGAGCGTCCAATCCTCCCTGTCGATAGCGATGCGGGCGTTGAACCGAGGAAGTGACCCGGGCGAATGGCAGTATCATTAAGTGAAAGGAAATGCGCTACCTTCGAAGAATCTCGAGATGAAGTTCCAGAACCCTTGTAGACCGCTTTGGGGACGGGTAGAATGAGGGGGTGTGCAAGGGTAAAGAAGAGATCTGGAGAATGCCCTCAAGAGGAGGGGGGGGGGAGGGATGTGGATAAGCTGAATTTGTATAGGGGAAATGCCTTCCACTACCACTACCATTTCCACTTCTACGTCTCTTACTGATTTTTACATTTTAGTTTTGACACTGATGCAATGACGCGACACATTTACAGCAACTACTATGATCATCACCTTCTTCCCGATCGTGTCGGATTTACATTATAACTTTGACTTTGACGCTTTACCGAAGCTACCGAGTACTATTACCTATTCGAGAGGAAGATTGACCTCATCAGACCCTCATAGTGTTTCTCTTATAATATTCTAATATGCTACAGCCCCTACTGTGGGCTTAAATTGCCGAGCGAAAGGTAGAGAGATTTGCCTCTCTGACTAGTTAAGTATTGTGTGAGTCGAATTGGGGCGAATAATCCTGAATCATGATTATAAGAGGCCCTTGTACGTCGATCAGATCCTCTTTCAGTCTGGCCTCATCTTCCCAACGCTTCTACAGGCACGAAGAGAGGCAAATCCCGGTGTACTTTGTAGGTATAGAACCCAGTCATTGGGCTGGGGGAGTACAAGGTACACATACCCTGTGCCTATCCCTACTCTATTCCATTCAAAAGCTCCAAAGGTTGGGAGAAATCTCCGAGAGTGGAGCCGTTTGTGGCGCTATGGGAATTCTGGTTCCATTTGGACTGTAGAGAGAATGATGATTAGGCCATAAGCCCGGGGAGTGGCATCGGGATGTCAACCATATCGGGCGAACTATTGATATCTAAATGGCCGAGGCCTGCAGCTCTAACAACTAGATCCCCTGAAGAAACATGATATAGACAAGTAAGAAACCGTAGAGCAATCTAAACATTTGCCCAGATTCCCCCGCAGGTGAGTCAGCAGGATGCCTGAGGGTGATCTCCCTTTATGTCATCACCAGGTACGCTCAGGTGATCACAGCCTTGGAGCTCCTGACTTTATCACACGGAGATGTTCATACGGGATCCCTTTGATTAGCGTGAACACTTTCGATTCCACATTATCCGGTGTTGACACCTATCTCTTATCGCTGGATGGCACTTCACTACGACAATCACTGGCTTCAGAAGCCAGTGGGATGAGCGCGCTTGAGCTTCAGTCTGATCCAAGATGATGTCTTCTAACATACTCTCACGCTTTCTGCCACCTACGGGCTCACCGTCAGTCTATGAGACCCTCAGGCAACAAGATGCTGATTCCGAATCCTCCGATATCGAAGAACGCGCAGGGCTGGCCATGGAGGATCCACAAGAACACTATAGTGACGGAGAGCTGGAGGAGGCACTGGCAGATGCCAGGGACAGTGAAATAACCAGTCCCAGCGCTCTTCTCAGTCCAGGGCGGTCACGGAAGGCACCCAAAAAGCGAGCTTCTCCACCGGCCACACGACGTCGCAAGCCATCAAGGCCGAGATGGATGGCACAAGACTTATCGCCAGGATATGAGCTTGACGATAATGATGAAGATGTTCCTCAGTCGCTGCTGGTGGAAGAACACCACGAAGATGCGAAATCGCGGTTGCCTCCTCCTCCCGGGTCCCATAATCGTTCAGATCGACGGCCTCCCAGCCCCGGTCCATCCCAGCCCAATCGAGCCCACTGGATTGAGCAAAGAGCTCCTCAACCACCTCATAATTACGCTGGTCATCCATTAGGGAGGTTTTTTACCGGGCAACACCCTGGTCTCGCCAATGTTGACCCCAAGAAGAAAGCAATGTGGCGATGGGCGAATGTGGAGGATTTGGACAATTTCCTCAAAGATGTCTATACATACTTCTTAGGAAACGGGATTTGGTCTATTTTGCTAACTAGGGTATTAAATCTTCTGTATGTGGATGATTTCAAACCCAGTTGCAAGTGAAACTAACATTTAAACATAGGACATTTGCATTCGTCGTTGGGTTCTCAACATTTTTGATGAACTGCATCGATTACCCCAAGGTTCGAGGTAGCAAGTCCCTAAACGATATCCTCGTACCTCAGTGCACAGCAAAGATGTCTGGCTCATCCACATTTTTGTTGTGGCTGTTCAGCTTCTTCTGGATTGGGAAGTTCTTCCAGTACTTGCTGGATATTCGCAGGCTCAAACATCTACATGATTTCTATTACTACCTGCTGGGTGTTTCCGATGCGGAGGTTCAGACGATTTCATGGCAAGAGGTGGTGAGCCGACTAATGACATTAAGAGACTCGAACCCAGCCACAGCGGCTGCTGTCTCTGCTCAACACCGCAGGTTCTTAGGTAGCCAGTCGAAACAACGGATGGATGCCCACGACATTGCTAATCGCCTGATGCGCAAAGAGAACTATATGATCGCCTTGGTAAACAAGGATATTTTGGACCTCACTCTCCCAATTCCATTCCTCAAGAATCGACAACTGTTTTCCCGAACCATGGAATGGAATCTCAATCTGTGCATTATGGACTTTGTTTTCAATGAACAAGGTCAGCTGCGCACGTTGTTCCTCAAAGATACCCACCGGAGGCTGTTGAGTGACAGTTTACGCCGGCGCTTTGTTATTGCTGGTATCATGAATATTTTTGTGGCACCCTTCATTGTGGTCTACTTCATGATGCACTATTTCTTCCGCTACTTCAACGAGTTCAAGAAGAATCCCGGGCAAATCGGCTCCCGTCAATACACACCCATGGCGGAATGGAAGTTCCGCGAGTTCAACGAGCTCTGGCATCTTTTCGAACGTCGCATCAACATGTCTTACCCGTTCGCCAGCCGATACGTTGATCAGTTCCCGAAGGATAAGACTGTCCAGGTAGCACGATTCGTCGCCTTCATCTCTGGGGCTCTGGCTTCGGTGCTAGCTCTCGCATCGGTGATAGACCCAGAGCTATTTCTTGGATTTGAATTAACACCTGACCGGACTGTCCTATTCTACCTTGGTATCTTCGGTACAGTTTGGGCTTTCGCGCGGGGCCTTGCACCCGAAGAGACTGATGTCTTTGACCCGGAATTTGCCCTCCTTGAGCTCATTGATTTCACACACTACTTCCCATCCGGATGGAAAGGGCGCCTGCATAGCGACGACGTGCGCAAGGAATTTGCAATTCTCTATCAACTGAAAATTGTCATTTTCCTAGAAGAAATTCTGAGCATGATTTTCACTCCTTTCGTCCTATGGTTTACCTTGCCCAAGTGCAGCGATCGCATCATCGACTTCTTCCGGGAGTTCACCGTGCATGTCGATGGCGTAGGCTATCTCTGCTCCTTCGCAGTCTTTGATTTCAAGAAGGGCACGAATGTCCTCTCCCAAGCCGCACCGGGGCGGCGAGATCAGGCCAAACAAGACCTACGCACGGATTACTTCTCCACCAAAGACGGCAAGATGCTCGCGTCCTACTACGGCTTTCTGGATAACTACGGTGCAAACCCCCAACCCACCAACCGGCGCCCATTCCACCCACCTCCAACCCTACCGACCCTCGGCTCGGCCTCTGCAGCTGACTTCGGCGCTCCCCCCGATCTCCAAGCACGTCCTGCGCAGACTTCAGCTGTACATTTCGGCCCTCAATATCTTGCTGGAGGCTCTAGGCTCAGACCAATAGGAGGCCTAGATAGCCGCTCCCCAGCCCCCTCGATGCTCCTCGATCCACACCACCAACCCTCCAGTTTTGGATTCCGCCCAGCGGCCCGATCCACCCCCCACCATCACCAGCACCAGCGTACCAGACTCGCGCACTCACAGCACCCAGGCGCTGGTTCCATTGATGATGAGTCTCATGAGGACCCTGGGCCAGCTGCTCGACAGTCTGCTCCTCATACCGGTGCCTCTAGCGGCGGCGCAGGCGCCAGCGATAGCCTTGGCGATTCGTGGCGTATGAACCCGCTTGGTAAGGATGAGGATGAGGCTGATGAGGGCGACGAGGGCGAGAATCTTGATGCTATTGCTGGTGGAGCTGGTGTTCTGGGTTTGATTCAGCAGTTCCAGAAAGCTAATACTGAAGGCCGCCGCACGACTGTGGGGATTTAGTTACACGTCGCGTGCGGCTTTTGGATCTGGCATAAATTATATGCTTCAGAAATGATATATGACTTGTTTAACAGAGTTTTGTATTAGATACTAACTTGCATGTGATCTGATGGCCTACTTTTCTTCATGATATTAAGGCCCAATGGAGTATTGAATATTGCCGACACTACATTTGCCATCTAATATGCCTCGATAGATTGAAATAATGCCTTCATTGTATTTAGTATACTTTGCTTCAAGCATAAAAGGTATCCATTAACGTTATTACCAGAATAGCGTAGTAGTCCGCGGTAGGGGTAAATATAAAACCCCAACACCACCTAATAACTATGTAGGTCTTACCTAGGTAACTTGACTACTATCCCAGTTAAATATTTCGACAATTAAATTCCTCAGCCCAGCACTCTTGAATTTCTTCTCATCTACCTTCACCAATTGGCTAACTGTCACCCGGCCGCGCAACAACTCTTTCCAGAAGCTCATTCTCTTTACCCATGATGCCTACCACCGTGCCGCACAGCCATACTCTTGCCGCTGAAGCCTGCCGTAATCATTCCCCGGTACTCGTAAATCCGTCCTAGTGCCTGTATTCTTAACAGAAGGCGAAGGCAGTCCCCGTAAACCCCATGATCCCTGTCCACACCTGTGTCAAACCGCCCTCCGTATCGTAGGAGTCCAAAATGATTCAAGACGTAAAGACGACGACCGGCCTTCATGCCGCCGAAGAGCCGATGGTCTCAGCCTTATTCCCGTATCTACATCGCCTGGAACGGCGGTGTAGCGACTTTGTTCGAGCCATGGAGGTCAGGGTCAAGGCAACCACACCACCCTGTAAACGGGCATTGGTACTGGAGTGACGTGGTCATTAACGAACAGAGCACGAAGCATAAAATGGTTCACTGAATTCAACGGAAAAAGGATAGGACGGAGGAAAGAAGGAGGGAGGGAAGGGGCAGAGAGAAAGAGACCTATCAGATGTACGGGGAACACGTGAACTGGACATTCTATTCCCCCTGTAGAACTGAGATATCTACTCCGATCAATATACCGTATAACTTATAAGTTAGCTTATATGTACGGAGTACGTAGTAATCCTTATAAAGCGGTATGTATACTAAAAGACTAATGATTACAGTATTTATGCCTACTTGCATATCTCCGCATTATAACGGGCCTCAAATGTTTCTCGGGCATAAGATAACTTACACATGTTTGTCAGAATCGGCCCAATTGCACCAATCTTGGTTAAGGGCCGACACCCTTGAAATGAGCTGGCTTAAATCGCCAAGTATGATAGGCCAACGTGAAGACCCTTGCGGATCGCCTGCATAAAACCTCCCAAGTGTTTGTAGGGCGCAATTAGCAGGGCTGGCAGACGCCGATCATTGGCCCCGGATTCTGGCGCATGGGCTGCTTCTCCACCATGTTTCGGGGCCCGGGGCCCGCTGTTTCTTAGGGTCTTGGCTTGGAGGAACAGGGGAGTGTGTTCTCTTTGTAGAGAAAGGGAAACGGCAATTGGTATAGAAGAGAAGAAGAATATAAATAGCAGCCATTGATTATACAAAGAAATAGAAATGTCCAAGAAAGAAGAACATAAACAGACCGGAAGCTTAAGTGGATCTACAGTCTCGTGATTGCATCTAGACTCGGCGCGACCTTCTATTTTCCTTTTCTCTCTCTACACTTCCCTCGGTAGTTCAATTCTGATCCCAAGAGGGACAGTCGCCATGTTTCGAGCTCGTCGCTATCGAGTTCTAATCATCTTCGCTGCGGCGTTCCTCCTCACCTTCATCCACTTCGCCCGATCACGCGACTGGAGCGATTCGTCAATCGAACAGCCTGTCGGCGTTCACCCACCAGATCCTGCCTCTGCCTACCCAAACCAACCCCAAGCCCCGAAACCCGACAACCCAGCCGCTGCCGCTGCCATCGAGGAGAGCGACAAATATGTCGTCCCGGAACCTAACCGCGGCTCCTCCGGCTCCGCACCCTCTACCGAAAAGCCGAAGATAATATCTCCTGTTGGTCCCAGCAGCGGGTCAAAGGGTAGCAGCAGCAGTCTCAAGGATGCCACCAAAGATAAAGCGCCAGTGATCGCACCTAGCAAAGACGGTTCGAAGGACCTCACGCCAGTGGGTGGCGCTGGTAGATTGCCACCACCAACAACAGAAGACCCCTCCAGCATTCAAGAGGAGATGGACAACGGAGGCGCTGGTAGACATTCAGTGGACGGTCCCAGCACTGGCATTCGGTGGAAGAAGTTCACTGAGCAGTTCCCCGTCCTGGCGGGCGAGACAATCAAGCTGCCCAAGGAGCGGTCGAAGATTCCCAAGCTCCAGGCTAAGTTTAAGGATGAGTCGAGCTCGGATAAGCAGGAGCGGTTGCAGCGACTTAGCACTATCAAGGCTGAGTTTAAGCATGCTTGGCAGGGGTACAAGAAGATCGCTATGGGGCATGATGAGGTTAAGCCACTGTCAAAGCAGGTCGAGGACCCGTTCAATGGTTGGGGTGCGACTTTGGTTGATTCACTTGATACTCTTTGGATTATGGAGTTGAAGGAGGAGTTCACCGAGGCTGTGGATGTCGTTAAGAAGATTGATTTCAAGACCTCATCTAGAGGTGATATCCCGCTCTTTGAGACTACCATTCGTTACCTTGGTGGTCTTTTGGGTGCTTATGATATCTCTGGCCATCGATATACGGTGCTTTTGGAGAAGGCCGAGGAGCTCGCTGAGATTCTTATTGGTGCCTTTGATACACCAAACCGCATGCCGCATCTTTACTACCGATGGGCTCCGTAAGTTTGATTCAATTCCTCTTTTGTTATTTACTACTGACAAATAGCAGAGAATTCGCTGCGAGGCGCCATCGGGCCTCTATCCGAGCTGGTCTGGCTGAAATTGGATCGCTTTCTTTGGAATTCACTCGATTGGCTCAATTAACCCAACAGGACAAGTACTATGATGCAATTGCGCGCATTACCAATGAATTGGAGAAGATCCAAGATTCAACCAGCATCCCTGGACTGTGGCCTCTTCGCATCAATGCGCAGGGATGTACTAAATACGATGCTCTGCGCAATGGTAGCCCTACGCGTGAGCAGCATGCCGCTTCAACGACTCAGAGTATTTCCACAAAAACCCGCAGACCTTATTCTGCGCCGACGGATATGGAGAGCTATAAGAACTTGATCCCGCGTGATGTCGAGGTGGATGCTGAAGGACCTGTCCAACTTGCCAATGGTACCCATGCTGCCAATTTGCCAAGCGTCGAGGCGCGCCAGCAACAGTCACCGCTTGCAAGTCAATGCAATGGCGGCTTGGAACTGCCCATCTCGTCCCGCGAGAATAAGTTTACCATGGGAGGAATGGCAGACTCAACCTACGAGTACCTGCCCAAGGAATACCTCCTCCTAGGTGGCTTAGAGCAGTACCAGTCGATGTACACCAAGGCTGCTGCTGCTGCCCGCAAACATCTGGTGTTCCAGCCCATGGTCAAAGGCGGACGTGACATTCGATTCATGGCCTCTGCCTCAGTGACACCTGGAAAAGGCCCCGATATCAAAGATCTCGAATACGAAGGAACGCACCTCACATGTTTCGTCGGTGGGATGTTCGCCCTGGGAGCGAAGACATTTGGAATCGAGGGTGATTTGGACCTTGCAGCCAAGCTTACTGACGGTTGTGTGTGGGCTTACGAGGTCACACAGACTGGGATAATGCCAGAAAGATTCCGTCTTCTAAGCTGTCAGAAGGGCTCAGCCTGTGAGTGGGATCAAGCCACCTTCGATACTGGCGTGGCACGTTGGTCGCGTCTTGACCCAGCGGCGGGACCCCAGTTCCGCAATGGAGAGAGCGCCTATGCTGAGCGTATCAAGATGGGCATGATCGATGAATCACGAGAGCCGGTTGGCAAAACCATTCCCATGGCCATGCCAGGCTCGTTGAACCCTCACGATAGCGACATCGTGGAGAAGCGCAGTGGGAGCAGTGCTGCGATTTCATCTGCTGTTTCTGCTACCTCTGCTATTTCAAGCCCAACCCCCTTCCCTGGCACAGCTGACCTGGAGAATCGAGACGCGCCTCGTTCGCCTCCATCGCCCGATTCACCACAGGCGTCGGTTGGCAAGGATCACCTCCCCGCGGGCATGATCAGTATCCCATTGCCCAAATACATCCTTCGACCCGAGGCAATCGAGTCTGTTTTCATTATGTATCGTCTAACCGGTGAAGAGTCCTGGCGCAAGAAGGGATGGCAGATGTTCGAGGCCATCGTCAAACACACGCGAACAGACCTGGCCCACGCGGGCATCAACGATGTCACGGCCCAAAAGCCCACCCAGATGGATACCATGGAGTCATTCTGGTTAGCGGAGACGCTGAAATACTTCTATCTGCTCTTCAGTGACACAACTGTGGTGGATTTAGATAAATACGTTCTGTAAGTGGCTGACGTAGCCGTAAACAATGCTGTGGACAGCAACTAACCTTTCTTATAGGAATACCGAAGCGCACCCATTCCTGCGCCCCAGTTCATAATTGCACCTGGATTTATATATATATATATATTGATACCAATTAGTGTTCTGTACTTTTTCCTTACTATTCTCGTATACTAGCTGTCGTAGTGAAGTGCGTAGGGTTGACCCGCAGTGGTCCTAAATTCCCCCCGCCTTCAACTCTCCAACTCGCACCTCTCGGCATGAGCAGTCTGACGGGAAATGGAGCCTGAGGTCTCGGAGACTGAGTTCTGGACTGGTAAGTACCTGGAGAATCAAAACCCATCTCTTTATTCCAGACACGCACGCGAATATGACAATTGACTCTCCGCAGAACTCCAAACGATCGTCTCCAAGCCCTGCGACTCCGAAGACCTGATCGACAACGCCCTCCGAGCCTACCTAAGTCTAACAACTCAACACAAAGGTAATCAGCCCTGCCCAACCAAAGCAGAGATCTCCTTGAGTCAACACGAATCCCCAAACACGAACGTGAACTACCTAGCCCGCACTGCCTCAGCGAACTATCACTAACACACACCCATCCCCCCAGATGAATACCTCCAAACAGAAACCGATATTGCGCGCTGCTCCTACAAACTCTTCGCATCGAGTATCTTCGCCGCTCACGCCGACTACGTAAGACGCCAGATCATCTACGGCCTGCTGCAAGAAGATGACCCTACAACCCTCCACTTCATTGCGTCATTCATTCTCTTCGACGGGCGGCAGAATGAAATCACGCTTCAGATGCTGAATGAGGAGGGCGCGTTTGCGCGTCTTCTTGAGCTTATTCAGGCTATGCGGAGAGCGGATATGGATGGCGATGCTGGGTTGCATCGCTTGTTGATGGATCTAATCTACGAGATGTCGAGGATCCAGAGGGTTAAGATTGAGGATTTGGGTGCGTTGGATATCCTTTGAGTGTTGGTTTGGTTTGGTTGGTGGCTGATTTTGGGGCTCCGCTGCAGTTCTCGTGGACGACGACTTTATTCGGTGTCTTTTTGATATCATTGAGGATCTTTCTTATGACGTTACGGACCCGTATCATTATCCTGTTATTCGGGTGCTTGTGAGTGTTTTTGCTCTATGTTTGCGTTGGGTTTGATGCTGATGGCTCTGTGCAGCTGGTTCTGAATGAGCAGTTTATGATTTCGGCTCATGATCCTGTCGATGATCGGCCCTCGGGGCATTTGACCAACAAGGTTATTAAGATCTTGTCTGTTTATGGTGGAATGTATAAGACCTTTGGAGAGAATATCATTCTGCTTATCAACCGCGAGGGTAACGTGGACCTCTTTGTCTTCGATTGATACGATGACTGACAAATTGCAGCCGAGACATCTTTGCAGTTACTAACGTTAAAGCTTCTGTATCTGATATTCACCACTCCTAGCACCTACGAGTACTTCTTCACGAATGATTTGCATGTTCTGGTTGATATCTTGATCCGCAATCTACTCGATCTACCCGAGGAAGCATCTGCGCTGCGACATACATATCTCCGCGTTCTTTACCCCCTTCTAGCGCACACACAGCTACGAAATCCACCGCACTACAAGCGTGATGAGCTCCGAAGATTGCTCAGTATCCTTGTCCGAGGGCAAGTTTCATATGGAAGCGACGCAGAACACGAGAAGATCCTCCATTTCGAGGAGGTTGATGAAACAACATGCCGACTTGTCGGTCGATGTGCCACGGTAGACTGGCTGCGCAGTGCTGAAGCGCCTGATTTGGCTGAAACGCAAGATACGCCTACCAAGGTTACGTCGACTTCTATTGAGACCGTCCTTGATCAAGCTGAGCAGTCCGAGTCGCCTGCAGACATTAGGGAGTCACCCGCAGATATCGGTGAACCGCTCGAAGTGGCTCGCACGATCTCGCGTGCAAGTACGATAGCTAGTACGTCAGATACAGCATCGCCGACGAGGGGGGATTCCCGCGGTTCTTCCAAGGCACCTCGAAAACATAGCTTAGTGCAACGGCTCGGCATGAACCTAGAGCCAGCGTCTACATCTTCGCTGAGCGTGCAAGCAGTTGCAGCACAACACGAAAAGCCAGGGATCATGACTCCCAGTCGGAAAGACGGTGTTCCAGTCGCCGCTCTCAGCGATGAGACGCCGATAATCCGACCCCCAAAGGTCAAGCCCGAACCCCCGAAATCTCGCCGCTGGCGCGGGCGCCGTATGGCCGTGGACGACGAGGAGCACCACTCCGCCGGCACAAGCAGCGACCGCTACACCATCCCCGAAGGCATAGAAGTCAGCCCTACCACCACACACACATCAACGACCCCAAACCCTGCGACACCCTCGTCACTTTCACACCCAGATTGCCGTGACTCCGTCTCAGGTTCTAATCTGGCACCCCCAGGTACCCAGCCGCGACGCTCAGCATCAAACCCACCCCCAGCGCTCCCGCCGCCTCGTCGTTCATCACACGCAACGCCCCCCTCGAGTCAACACCGATCTCCAACCCCGGTGTCGGGAGCAGGTCGTCACGGTCAAGCCCCGCTTCCTCCGAACCCGCGGCGTTGGGGCCGCGGCAAAGCACAGCATGGACAGAGTGATTCCGTCGAGAGCGGAGCCAGTAGTGTCGGTCCGTCAAAGGAGCTCGAAACCGACAGCACTCTCGCCCCAGCTCAGCAGACCCAGTCTCAGACTCAGTCTCAATCTCTGGAAGGAAGTACTCTGTCTGACCCATTCTCGCCAACATCACCAACATTACTGGTATCACCAGCCGAATCCGGTGACAATGCCCCCGCCGAGGCTGCTCCTGTCAGCGTAGAGGAAGCGGTTCAAAATGTTTCTCTGCATTGAGCGAATTTCTTCAATGGCGTGCGTGCGTGCGTTTCTTTCAATTCAAGATACTCCTTGTCTGCGCCTCTTTTTTCGGATTTGTTTTGGTATCCAGCGGCTGTTGCTGTTCCAGAGAACGGCGGGATGCGATAGGCCTTGGCTCTAGTCTTCAGTGAATCTGGAGATATAAGCATTTCAATCACACGGAGGGTTGTTAGGATACGAGTTACAAGCAAGGACTGGATCCTAGAAAAACCAAATAGACTGTTGTCCCTGACAATCAACAAGAATGGAGTAGAATACATATACAAATACAGATACAAGTATTGGTAGGATGACTTAACCAGATGGGATAGTCGAAATAAGATAGAAGTACACATTCATCCTACACATACAAGCAAAGCCTGTTCCTTCAACAGCCTCACTCATACCCAGACAAAAGTTCTCAAGAAACGAGAGATAATGATAGGTATGCAAGTATCACCTCAAATCTTCAACCCCCAGCTGCGGCCGAGCCCAACAGCAGTGTTCCATCCAAAGCTGGCACATTGGCCCAGACCAGTAAATTTATCAGCAATAGCTTGACGATCCTCAAAGCGGCGCTCCACAAACGCAGCTGTCTCAGAGAGATCTGGTGTCGGGTCGCGCGTCATGACGACCTCGGAGCTGGCGTAGATGGCTGATACCGCCAGACGGCGCGTATACCACGCCGCATCGACGGATGCGTCACCGGATAGAGTGAGGATATCGGATGCAAGGGCATGCAATTCCGTTAGCGAGAGGGGGATATTAGACAGGAGGGACATTTGCGCGAGAGCCTAGTAGATATCAAACCACATTAGTATAAGCCCCCAAAAAGTTCATATGATTGAAAAGAAAAACAAAGAAAGGGATATACTCACATCCTGCCAAACATGCCTAACCTCGTCATTCATCCTCAGCCTCTCCAAAAGCAAACCTCGAACCCGCTCCTCAACCCCAAGCTCATAGACATCCTTCCCCTTCTCCGCCGCAATCCGCCGGAACAATCCCCCCTCCTCGACCTTCCCGCGCAACAATCCACGTCGACTAGCAAGCCAGAAGAGAATCAGGTCGAATTCTCCGCGCGGGAGCAATTGCACTGAGACATCTAGGAATCCTGCGTCGCGGGCTCCGAGTGTCAATGCTGTGCTGGTGAAGCCGTGCGCTGGGACATGGTCGAGGGCTGCGGTTAGGATTGCTGTTTGGGAGTTTGTGTATTCGTGGTCTGGGAGGCGGGGGTGGAGGGTTGAGTGGTAGGTTCTGAGCTGGGCGAGGGGGGTCTTGGGTTGGTTTGGGGTTGGTGTCGGAGTTGGGCGGGTTCGTTGGGGCGTGGGTTGGATTGTGATTGTGCTCAGTGCTTGGGCTCGGCGCAGGTAGGGAGTTAGTTGGGTGGGCAGGGCCCTTCTGGGTAGGGTGCGTGCGAGGTGTGCCATTGTGTGGTGGTTTGAGGTTGTTCGAGAACAAAAGTGAAGACGTTGGAGATGGGAGGATGGTCTGTGCGCGGGTGATCTATAGGGAGTTGTCTAACATTCGGTGTTTGACTTAGGAGTCTTGGGTGTGTTAGTACGGTTATATTTGCTTATGAAATTCTTGAACTTTGATCATTGGCGTGCCTGATTATGGATTTGGTCTGTATTATGCAGCGCAACTCTGAATCTATACACTGCTTGCACGAGCATCAAGCCAAACCACCCATGGAATACAAGACAAGTGGACAAAAGATCGTATGAGTATCTAGGCAAGGGTTGAAATAACACACTCGTGCCTAGTACACACTAAAACCCGCTTCCTTGAATGGAAATGACCTTATATACTTCGGTAGTCGGTAGTTGATAGTTATGGCGGGATAGTTGCCGGCCTAGGATCCGGGTCGAAACATGCTAGAGCGGAATTGTCGACTATAGCCTCCATTCGACATGCATTACCATAGCCAAATCTCATATTTATCCTTCATAGACTCCAGCCACACAACTTGCCTCGGTACTTTCAGGAAGGCCCAACAGTTCTTCATGAGCTCCTGGGAGTAGCCTATGAGTTACGTATAGACTACCATAATTAGCAAAGAACTATTAAGTCTAATGTGAGGCCTGGTTAGGTCGAGGCAAATAGGCGGGCCTTGTCCAGGTTTATTTCCTAGTCTTTCGTGAGTTTTCTTTGTTTCTTATATAATTCATGAGAAGAGTTTGATGGCGGATTATGTGTTAAAGGAAGTAGCCTAATATTGATTCTCAAAGGATTATGTCGGTACTGGAGGCTAGTGCAATTCAATTGCAACCAAACAGCCTCTCAAGATAGAAACCCGCTCACGGAGTTTTCTTGGTGCACTCTAATACGCTAAAATGAGGATACTAGCTAAGCTTGGATAGAAACTGCATCGTTTGAGGTCAAATCATGAGCAGCCAGGTCCCTCTTCTTCTGCCGCAACCCTCGACATATCATGATCTAGCCCACGAAACAGTGGTACATTATACTATCGCTTGACGGGATCAGGAAGAGATATAACCAGAAAACATATTTCAAAGTCGATAACAATGGAACATTAAATCACCCAAATCCTTGTATGCAAGTCATTAATCATACAATTCAATAGTTGCCCTTCCACACCCTCCTAAGGCTTCCATTCGGTGTACGGCCGGTCAATAACCATCTCCTTGACCGTCGGCAACTGAGCTTGACCCTTTCCGAATTTCACTGCCATTGCCATAACCTCTCTCCAGCGCAATCCCGGCGCAATCTTACCCGAGATGGTGTTAGGAGTCGACGTGTCACTGTTAACAGGAACAAGAGCAGCACGGCCGAGAATAGCCTCGAGAGCCTGCTGAGCGAACGAGACTGCCTCCTTGGCATCGGAAGGAACACCCGTCTCATCAAGACTGAGAATCTTCGAGTTTGGCAGCTGCGCCTTGAGATACTTGATGATGTTGGGGTTGTGGGCACCACCACCGCACATATAGACGCCGGCGATCTTGTCAATATCGATGTTGAACCGGGGGAAGAAGGTGCGGTACTGCTTGACAATGTTCTGGGCGGTAATGCGGGTGATGGTGGCTATGATGTCGTACTTGCTCATGCTCAGAGCCAAGCACTCGTCGATGATCTCCTGGGCCCCGTTGTCACCGAAGGTCTCACGACCCGTCGTCTTTGGGGGCAGGTGGTTGCAGTACTTGTTGTTGTCGAGGAACTTGTCGACTACTGCCTGGTTGATGGTACCCTGAGCACCCCACTCGCCGTCGCGGTCATACTCCATCTGGCCGTTGGTGAAGTAGCGCATTGCGGCGTCGATGAACATGTTGCCCGGGCCACAGTCCCAGTCGACCATGGCGTCGACACCACCCTCGCTGTCCGGTGGAATGACGCAGAGATTAGCGATACCACCGATATTCTGGCAAATGCGCCATTCAGTGGGGTGATGAAGGAGGAGACCGTCGATCAAAGCGACGAGAGGAGCACCCTGGCGGCCGACCGCTTGTTCAGCCATGCGGAAGTCGGTAACTGTAGTGATGTGGGTTAAGCCACTCATGATAGTTCCTTCGCCGAGGCAGAAGGCGGACCGGGTCTCACCGAGCTCGGGCATGGAGAGAAGCCAAATGGTCTGGCCGTGCGAGCCGATGAGGTCGATGCTATCAATGGGTACGTTGTGCTTCTCACAAAAGAGCTTGACTGTCTCGCCAAACATGTTGCCGAGCTGCACATTCAGCTGGGACATGAGGGAGGGAGTAGTTTTTGTTTCGCGAAGCATGGTGAGGACGGGCTTCTTGATATCTAGCGGGACGGGGAACTCGTCGTACTGTATTAGGGCAATTTGTCAGTTCCGTTGAAGTTGATTGATAAAGACTACTAGAGAACCATCGTACCTTGAGGATCTCCATGTGCAAAGGAGCTTCAGGGGAAGCCTGGCGATAACGAACCAAGGCGCAGTCAATGCCGTCCATAGCCGTACCGCTGTTCATTCCCAGAACCGTGATGTCGAGGGTGCCATCGGCAACACAACGGCGGGTGCCCTTGACGTGAGCAGAGCCATTGGGCTCGGGAAATTCGACTGAAGTGACCATTTTTGTAATGTGCATATACAGGATTGCAATTCAATGACTTTTGATTCCAACAGTAATCCAGAGGAGCGAAGAACCGCTTCATATACCTTTGGAAACCCGACCCCAATTCGCGCTGGACAAACAAAATGGCTCCGTAATTCCTGATATTCCGAAGTCACGCGCAAGACAGAATGCCGAGAAGGGCGGAATCGGGGATGAGCTTCGCGAGCTACATGACCGATGCGAGCCCGAGAAGCAAGCCAGAATTGCCTAATTGGGTATCTTCGAGACGAGGTGCACAGACCGGCTCGACCCCGGAGTTGCGAAAACGTGGAGAAGCGTTTAAGCCGTCAGTCTCGGGCCGTTTATGCGACTACCCGTGCCTGTATCTCGTGTTATTGGTGAAGATCGGGGAGGCAGCCAAGGTTCTCTCGTATTTTCGTGGAAGAGTTTCATGGATGGGGATTGCTAATGAATCCCGAGCTCTGGTCAGGGCATCCCTCTCTTTTTCCGTTGAACAGGTGAGGATGATCCGTGCTATGTGTCTCTAACTAAAAATACTTAAAGAGTTCCCTGTATCTGCTGTTCTGGCTTCCTTGACCTTGCCCAGTCGATTTATAATAATCACATTGTCATGCCTTCTGCCACCATGAACGCTCATGAAGTTCGCTCGGTTTGGACCTCAGACGAGGGTTCAATGGCTAAACAGACGGCCGAGATCCGATGGGCCAAAATCATTCAGGGCACTGTGGACGACATGGGCGAGACAGCCGCCATGGAGAATATTGACGACCAGAAAAGAGCGGAGAGCATCGCCATTCAGATTGCCCTCAAGAACATCAAGAAAGAAATTCAAAAGGACAATGCTCTCACGTACGTACTTCCTCTCCAAGCACCGAAACGCAGAAACTAACGACGCGTCAGACCCCTGCAAGATGACGGCAAGCCCGATGTTCAAGAGTGGAATAACCTGTTGGCTGTGATTGGAGAGTGCAGTTGGGTCAACTGCCCGTGGCTCTTTGGAGAGTGCTACATGTATAGGTACGATTGTTGCTGTAAAGATCGGATCGAAGAATTGCGCTGAAAATCCCACCAGACGCATTCAAGGAATCTTGACCTCCTCAAAACACTGGCAGAACTATGATGTTTTCAAGCGCCAAAAAGACTCTACCTTTGTCAAGTCAAGAGCCGCCGTGGAGGAGCTCGCCAACCGTTATATGCAGACCGTTGCCGAAACTGGACTTGTCCAAAATGAGAGCAAGGAAGAGGCCAAGAAGTTGCGTTTTATCGAGATGACGGAGGTCTCCCTGTGGGGAAATGCCACAGACCTGTCACTCCTTGCTAATCTGACTCTGGAGGACTTGCAAAAATTGCAGGGCCGTGATGCCATCCAGAAGAGCCAGCGGAACATCGTCGACAACGACACGGACGACGTATGGGCGTACCTTCAACGCACTGCCGGTCAGCATAGTCGTCAGATTGACATTGTCCTCGACAATGCTGGTTTCGAGCTCTTTACCGATGTGCTCTATGCCGCTTACCTGCTCGACGCCGGCATTTCTACCTCTGTCAGACTGCATACCAAAGAATCCCCGTGGTTCGTCAGCGATGTCATTCCCTCTGATATCGAATCACTGTTCAAGCATCTTGATTCCTCCGATTGCTTCCCAAGCCGAGAGTCTCTCGATCAACTCATCCCGAGACTCCGCAAGTTCTTCCAGTCGGGCGCGATCACGACCACAAGCGACCCTTTCTGGACGACACCGTTCTCGTTCCACGAGATGCCATCCAAGGCACCCGCTCTCCTCAAGGAACTCCAAAACAGCTATCTGGTCATCTTCAAGGGTGACCTCAACTACCGCAAACTGACCAGGGATGGATTGTGGCCTCACACCACCACGTTCGAGGAGGCTCTGGGTCCCCTTGGAAAGCAGAGCGGCATCAAGACTTTGGCCCTTCGCACGAACAAGTCTGACGTTTGTGTTGGCGTCCCGACCCAGAGAGAGGTTGATGCGTTGAATGAGGAGGCGCCCGATGGTGCCTGGGTCCAAAACGGAAAGTATGCCGTGGTATCGTTTAATGAGGGCCAATGATTTTCCTGTCTTCCCTCTATCGTGTAGACCAATTCCTTTATTTTGATGTTACTAGGTAGGCTTTGTGGACGGATTACGTTGTCGACCATTCTTCTTTTAGAGAATTCACTATCCAACTCGTCGGCCACGCATGCTTCGTTTCCATATCTCGCAGCAGTCTCATTAATTCCTCCCTTTCTGCTAAATCTGTCATCAAGGGACCCCCTGTCAATGTCAGTAACTGGATCCTACATGAATAAGGCGGGAAATGTCTCACAAATAAAAGTGGAATGACAGAGTGTGATCAACGATGGCACCGTCGAAGGGGAACTTTTGCATGCACCACAGATTGCGTGAGCGTGCTTCATGACCCGGATCTGATGGCGTCAACGAGAACTCATTCACACCACAGCAAACATCCAAGCTTACATCAGATTCACGAGCTGTGCCATGGACCCCTCTGACTGCGAATTTAGGCGATGGCTTGTATATGACCAATAGCATACAGGCAAGATGATAGTAACCAAATGCCATAACTGCAAAGACAATTAGACAGCGCAAAGTATAAGTCTTCTGGCACACATACTATGCCAGTCCGCCGTAAACCATATCTCTGGGAAAGGGTTTCCATTGCCCGGAACGGCTTCGCTATACCAGATCGGGTCAAAAGTACTCGGTCTTGTGCTCATCCAACTCTCGACGGCCTCGGATAGCTCTTGCCATCGGCACATTCTGGCGAAAGGCTCAGGGTAACTCGGCCCGAAGCAGAAGTGTACTACGGTGGCACAGATCCAAGTCATAGTGTTGGCCCACGCTGTTTCAGACTTCAAATTGCTCAGAGGGTCGTCTCCGCAAGGAGGGGGAATGAGAACCAAGTCCAAATCCACATTGGGAGACTGCTGATGCACACAAGCATTGTACAGGCACTGGCGCAGGTACACCCAGAAAGCCGCGTGCCGCAACCTCGGGGCCGAGGGGTCCACCTCTCGTCCTTGCGATGCGCGGAGCAGAGCCGAGCAGCCGGCTAAATGACGCTCCTGATCGCTGCCGGTTACCATGACTGTTTCAGCCCCGAGGAGATTAGCCTGGGCGTCTCGTGATTGCTCGAAACTCTCTCGGACTTACCGTTTAACTGTTCAAACACTCGCAGGATGACAATGGTACATAGCAGAATATCATCGTTCGCAACCGTTTCCGAGTTCAGGAAGGGGATCAATAGTTCTACGCACCGCTCATGCGCCTGCTCGGCCATTTCGGCATCTCCGACGTGCCGGGACGCGTAAGAAAGCACAGCATACAGCAGGATCGGCGATTGCTTGACCAGGATGGGAATTTTCCGAGTGAACTGACGGGAAGCATCGGTGCAGTCAAGCCATTGCCCGAGGTGCGTTGCAAAGTGGTGTACCAGGTAAGCTTCTCTGTGAGTCAGTGGAGACCCTGCATGTATCGCACCTGCGTGCGAAGCCGGAGACCATGGACTTAACGAGTCCGGTTGGAGCAGCTGGGAGATCTGGATTCCAACCACGCTGAAGTAAGGAGAGGTGGTAGTATTGTTAACTGAAGTTGCCACCAGAGGCGCGGAAACAGAGTCGCTGGTGTGTTCTGACAGGATACTAGAGCCTTGAGTGTTGTATGGTGATGTCACCGAGGTATATTCGTGTTGATGGTTATGAAATTCAGCATAATTTGGGTTGGTGGTGTGTTCAGGGCTGGTTGCATTAGCAATCACTCCGTCTGCAGTTCCGTGTTCCGGCAGGTGTGACATTTCATCATGATCATGGTCAGGAGCATCCTTAGGGTCTTCCCTAGTCTTTCTTGGTTGATAAGGCTTGATTCTGAGGCACATGCGAGAGTCTACTCGTAGACATGGGCGGTTCTTTTTTTGGCATTGTCCACAGATCGGCTTGACTTGGTCACCTGTTTTCAGGTAAGCTTTTGCATTTAGCCTATATTGAACCTTTCAATGGCTTACATTTGACATGCCTCTTCCGGCAAGTTAGGCTGTGATGAACTTAGCAATGTATCATGATGAATGACGGAGAGTGGACACTTTGTCCGTCAACGGTCACGCAGTCAATAGTTCTGCTTGGCAAGCTTCCCCAGAAAAGTCCCAAGGCAAGAAACGGTAGATCTGGATCAGCCACAGATCTACCCAATTCTCGATAGGCGAGGTGTATAGTACCTGTAGTGCAGGGGAAGGTTTGCGGGGGAAGACTAACCATCCATTTCTGGAGCGAAGCTTTCCCATGTCGAGAACTATGGGGTCTACCGGAGTCCAGATTGGTATAAGATTGTTGTAAGATTGGGTGGAAGTCCGTCTGGAAGAAGAAATATCGAGACGAGATTTGAGAGTAGACAGGATCAAGTGGAGGAAAGAGTTGGTTATGACTTGTGGGGAAGGAGAGTAGAAAGAGAACTCGGGATTTGGGGTTGTGGAGGTGGAGAATCCGAAACAGGAAAACCCCCCCGAGGCTTTGAATTTGGGGTTATTTCTATCAAGACCCATAGAGAAGCAAGAAACCGTGGGAATTTGCTTGTGTCTCTCTTTCTCCATCATCCATCATCCATCCTATGGGGGCACTCATGGTCTATAAACATCCCCATATATCCCTAATACGAAAATGATATCTCTATCAATAATCCAGGGTTGAGTCTTAGTTTCTATACATTTTCTATTCATTTCCAATTTGTCTTTGTTTACGGTTATCTCCTTTAATTCACTGCTATTCACCATGATCCAGAAAGGATTCTGGCGAACAGTCCCTGGACCTAAGCTGCTCAAGTTGATTACTGCAGTCTCTGCCGTTGCCATTTCATATGAGGGCATGAGCCAGGGTGTCATGGGCGCTGTCAATGTAGCCCCAGAATATGGAGTATGTACCGCAGTCCCCTGAGCCAGGATCTGCCCAGAAATGGAATCGGGAACTAATCGAATATCACAACTGCAGCACCGCATGGGCTTCGCTGATGAGCATGGTAAAGTCATCAAGCCCTCTCTGCAGGGTGGCATCGCTGCCATGTACTATTTCGGCGCTCTCCTCGGGGCCTTCTGGGCTGGCAGTTTCTCCGATGCCTACGGACGTATCAAAGGGATCTGGATGGCCTGTCTCTGGTGTCTTGTCGGAGTTATTCTTCAGGCAAGTGCCACGAATCTCACTCACATGCTCTGCGCCCGGGTCGTTGCAGGTGTCGGTGTCTCCTTCATTATCGTTATTGCTCCCTCGTGGACCGCAGAGCTGGCTCCGGCGAGTCATCGCGGTCAAATGATCGCCCTGACTTTCCTCGCCAACTTTGGAGGCATTGCCTTGTCTTCCTGGATTGGCTTTGCCACCTCTTTCACCGACTACGCCGGCGGCACATTTCGATGGCGCTTCTGCTTTGCTTGCCAAGTGATCCCAGTCTTCTTCCTCGTCATCGGCACCCTGCTCATTCCTGAATCGCCTCGATGGCTCATCAAGGACGGACGCAACGAAGAGGCATTCGAGATCATCACCAAACTTCGCGGAGATGGCGACCGCGACCACCCGGATGTGCAGAAAGAAATTCGCGAAATCGTCGCTGTTATGCAGATGGAACATGAGATGCAAAGCTCCAGCTACTTCAAAATGTTCCTGGGCATTGGTTCGGGGGATATTCACATTTGCCGTCGTATCCAGTTGGCCTTTTGGCTCCAGGTCATGATGCAGTACGGTACAGGTATCGCGGCGGTCGTCATCTACTCGGGTAACATCTATCGGACTGCTGGATTTGATGATTTCAAATCAAACTGGCTGTCTGCCCTGTGCATGACTTGCGGTATCCTGGGAACTGGTGTCGCTGCCTTGGTGTTGGACCGAGTGGGTCGTCGCCGGACCCTCTACTGGGGAGCGGTCGCTTTGGGTATAATTCTTTTTGCTCTGTGAGTACGAACACATTTCGCCCTTGGCGTTGCTCTTACTGACTTTCCTCCAGTGGTGGTCTGAACCGTGGAGCCGTCAATAACCCCGATAAGGCTGAACAGTACGGAACCGGTGCCGCTGCCATGGTCTTCCTCTACGTGGTTGTCTTCAGCTCTTCGTGGTTGATGATTCCTTTCATTTATCCAACCGAAATTTTCCCGACATGGCTGCGTGCTAAGGGTAACGCTTTTGGTGTTGCGGGTTGGGCAGTCGGCTACGGCGCTGGATCGCTGCTGGTCCCGGTTATGTTTGCGGGTATCCAAGAGAAGGTTAGTTTCTTTCCTCTCTTCCCCATATTTTGATGTCTGACATCTTTCTTCTCAGACATTTTACGTATTCGGTGCCGCCATGTTCTTTTACATCCCTCTCATTTACTGTTTCTTCCCCGAGACTGCTGGCCGCACACTCGAGCAGATCGACTTCCTGTTCGCCAGCAAGAGCCCTTTCGTGTGGGATGAGGAGAAGGAGTTTGCAAAGCGAATGACTCGTTTCAATGCTGAAATCCAAAAGATGCAGGTTGAGAATGGTGAATATGCAAGCGAGGAGAAGAGATGCGAGGAGTTTGTAGAGAAGGTCTGATCGGGGAGATTGCGAGTTGCACTCCAAACTGTCGTGTTTGTTTTGTAATGGCTTTGCTATTCAACACCGCTGTTATATACGAAGTGTTAGGATATAATATGCTGTCCAGGACCTAGTAAATTACCACAGTGGGCCCTAGAGTCAAATGTCAGCCTCCATCCATCCTAGTACGCAGTGTTGTGTGGTAATCTGTAGCATATAAGCTGCTGAAGCAGTCGGCCACTTCCAGTGCTTCAAATCATCCGGTAGAGACCTGCTAGTCTTCTCATCATTCAAGGAATGAGACAACCAGAGCCCAAAGATTAGCAGACATACCTAAGGCATTTGGTAAGGCTGTCAATGACACCATCTCAACCCAACGACAATTCGACTTTCTTTTGAACTTTACGCATGCCAATGGACATCTCCAAGCGGGACCCAGAGAGAGGAAGAAGTTTTGAAATCAAAGCGGGATTGTGAAGTGAAATTAAGAAAGCGAGCTGAGTAAGGGGAGCAGTGTTTTGGGGAAAAAGGTAGACCGAAAATAATGCTGGAAAATATATGGTACCGTGGCTCGCGTATTTGAGATTATAGGACTTATACAGAAAGCAAAGCTGAAAAACTGATATATGGTACGCTCTACTAGCAAAAAAGAACTAACCTGACGAAACATGCTTCTCAAGAACAGCAATAACACGCCGAAGAGAATCTTCCATCACGTTACCGTCTGCTGCATCGCCAGCATCTAAATCAATAACCTCCTTGGTTTCAAACCCATGATCTTGTCCGACAGCATTTTCAAAATAAGTGTCAACACCAAGAGCCCTCAACTTCTCAGCTACAATAGAGCTCTGATCAAACTCAACCAAGTCATCCCGATCACCATGCAAAAGAACAGTAGGCGGGAAACTCGGCGTCAAGCCGAAGGTCGCAGGAAACAGGATGCGGTATTCCTCGGGAATAGCACTCGTGCCTTCTATGGCAATGCGCTGCGCCAGACCTGGACACCGCGTAAGGACATCCGCATACCGTGCAGCCTGATGCATTGTCCTGATCCACTTGATTCTCTGATCGGTGAGTGGATTTGCCGGGAAAGGATACCCGTCCAGCACCTTCCCGCTCTGCATTGCTGAATCGATCTCACTCAGGGATTTGTCTACGTCATCAACTGGTCCCATCAGAGGTTGCCCGGGATGGATATGCCGCTTGCTTGCTGGATCAAGCATTCCGTAGATGGCGAGAAGGGCGAGGGGTCGAGGGCAACTTGGATGGGCGGCTGTTGCGAGAGCTAGATATCCTCCGGCACTGGAGCCGGCTATGATGATTTTGCTGCTGATGTTTTGGTTGACCCAGTGGACTGCGTCGAGTGTGTCTTGGAGGATATCTAGTCCCTTTGCTTCGGGGAGGAGCCTGTAGGATGCTGCTGCGTATATCCATCCTCTGTGGTGACAGGCGTTGATGAGCCAGTGGGGTTGGAATGCTGCATTGTCGCCAATCAACTGGAGTTAGATAATTAGCTGAGATCCAGGGAAAAGAATGAAAAGAGTGAAATTTGGCAGCAACGTAGAGAACCCACCAGGAATCCGCCATGGAAATGAAGGAGGACAATACTGTCTTTCTGTGCGGTTGGAGGTTTGAAGATGTCAATCTCGAGGGATAGTCCATCTACAGTCTTGTAGACATGCGTCGAAGTTTCCAAAGTCGCCATAGTGAGTAAGTGACAGAGTATAATGGCAGAGACGCGCGTAGTTGGAGATTATCTGTAAGCACCCCTCATTACTCCATCCGTGGGAATGTTCCGCGGAATTTCCCCATTGGCTTAAGTCGAGAAATTATATCCGGAGTGTGAAGTATACATGGAAATATTTATGCTGTGCCGGCATGTAGCCATTTTATACGGAGGACAGTCTATTTATTAAGGTCCACATGATCTACGCTTTATCGGCTACACTATAAGGAGATCTCCACGTTCAGCGGGGTTGTGAATCCCGACAAGGAACATAAAAGAAAGCAGCCATGTATCTTTCCAGTATATATGCTGTATGATGTTATCCCCGGGCAGGTTTGAGTGATGAAAAGATTATGTTGACCCGCTTTTTGAGGTTGCCAGATCCCATTCTATATCGGAACACTCACTCTTCTGCTTTGGCATCACGTCAGAACCCATGTATCCTCACCAAGGTGCAAGTTGAGATCCTTTCTCTGAAAGCGCTCAAGAAAGAAGGAGATATCTACTCAATCGCCGGGTTGGAAGCATCACAGCATCACTCCCATTCCTGATGCCATATGCACTTCAAACCGGAGAGATGGCTAAATGATCCAAGTGCAAGTAAAAGCCGGTTCCTAATCCCGGTCAGTATTGGTCATAGAATGTGTGTGTATTGGGCGGAATTTTGCAATAAGGAATATTTTGAAGATTGTTACTACACTTGTTTAATGTTTGATATTGAGCCTGTCCAGGCGAAGAAGGATGGGGGGACTGGGGAGATGGAGGGGACTTTTTTGTGTCGGGTTAAGGGGAGGGGAGGGGTTGAATTATTTGATTGTGTACTTTGATAAATAAATGTGTATTATTGTGAATGTTGAAGTATGCTAGGTATGCCCTAGGCGTAGTCTTAAGTCCTGAGGATAAGCGTCTTTAGAGTGGACGTGAGTTAAAAAAATACTACGTCTTCCCGAAGATGTATTGGTTATGTAAACAGGGCGTATATTTTATGAAAGACTACGCAGGAGAGCCGGGTGTAAGAGGTAGATAAGATGTAGGTAAGATGTAGGAAAGAGGTAGGAAAGAGGTAGGAAAGAGGTAGGAAAGAGGTAGGAAAGAGGTAGGAAAGAGGTAGGAAAGAGGTAGGAAAGAGGTCGGAAGTATGGAGGTATGCTGAGCAAGGGTGAGCGAGGGTGATTTCAAAGTACGAGTCATCGAGCTTTCCCAACAAAAGGGAAAAAAAATGTCATCGCATCGCGAGGATTGAACGGGCGCGAGTTGGCGTCATGCCAAATTAGGCGTGATGCCACAGCGAGACCGCTAGGCCGTGGCTACGGAAACGGAACGACAGCTCTCGAGATACCATCATATATACGAAAACTACAAAGAAACAAACAAGGAGAAATATCTCGTTGCTGGTATAAACGCAGAAAGCTTTTCTTCCATTCTAGAAAAAAAGAAGAGCAGAGGTGATCAGCCCAAACGGGCACCGGATCCCCATTTTGAGCTCAAAGCCTCAAAAGAAACGGGATGGGAATAAGGGAATCATCGAAAGAAAAGAAAAGCGCAGAGAAAGAAGAAAGCCGAAGAACTCATAGCCCGAGACGATCCAACCCCGGAAAACAATCATGATGTGCAGGCGTGCAAACGTCCACGGGTGCAGAAAGACCAGCTTACATGATCTGGTCCTGGGTGAGGCCAGATGGGTGATCCTGCTGGCCTTCCATCATGTCGTCATGAGGGACGTTGGGGGTCATATACTTGACGAAAGTGATTCCGAGGGGACGACCACCGTACTGGTAGCCGGAGAACTTAGCTGTTGGGGGGTTAGAATATGGGCTGTAAGTGCTGGAGATGGGAGTACATACAAATGGCTGTCTCTGCTGTGTCTGCGGTATCGAATTGGACGACGCCAGTACCGCGGGAGCGGCCATTGGGCTCGTACTGGATCTCGGCACGGTCGACCTTGCCAATGGTGGAGAACAGATCAATCAGGTCATCGTTGCAGGTAGACCAGGGTAGCTGTCCTCATGTTAGCACCTCTACCTCTCGCTGTCGGCGTCAACACTTACGTTGCGAACGTAGATAACACTGCTCTTGTCGCCGTTGGAAGTAGCAAAGTCAGTGAAGGGGTTTGGAGGTGCCGAGGCAACAGGAGCACCGCCCTGGTCGAAGCCACCACCGGGGAAACCACCGGGGGGACCGCCGAAACCGCCACGGCCACCAAAGCCACCGCCAAATCCACCGCGACCACCAAAGCCACCACGGCCACCAGGAGCACCGCCGAAGCCGCCACGGCCGCCGAATCCACCACCAAAGCCGCCGCGTCCACCGAAGTTACCACCGGGACCACCGCCAGCAAAACGATCCTCGCGGACCTCAAGGTTGCGGCCCTGCCAGTCGTAACCGTTGAACTGCGTAATGGCATTGCGGGCATCATCAGGAGACTCGAAAGCAACAATACCGGAGCCCTTGGGGCGTCCACTGGGGTCGGTGTGCACATCGGCACGAATGACGGCACCCTGCTGAGCTGTGATAGGGAATTAGGGTCAATTCCATGGGCTCACACTAGACAAGAAACGAGTCAAAGTCGGGGATTTCCATGTTGCACTTACCAGCTTGGCGGAACAGATCCTTCAGGTCTTGCCAGCCAACGTTGAATGGAAGCTACAAAAGTGTTAACCGATTCCAAAAGAGTTCTTGACGGGATGGGGGCAAAGAAAAGAGAACAAACGTTTGAAACATAGATTTGACGGCCAGCAGTTCCGGGAGCACCGCCGAAACCACCACCGAAACCACCACCGAAGCCACCACGACCGGGGCCGAAATCACCACGAGGAGGACCACCGACGAAACGGGGCTCGGCTTCACGGTCCTTTCAAATCGGGTCAGTCAAGTTTGACAGACAGAGTGACATAACATACCTCGCGAACGTAAACGAGACGACCCATCAGGTTCTGGTTGCTAAGCGTGTTGACAGCGTTCTGTGCTTGCTCCCTGGTTGCGTATTCCACAATCCTGATATACTGTTAGCAAACGCCCTCGATTCGAACAGAGACATCACTCACCCGCATCCCTACAATATCCGGACAACAATGCCCAGCCCGTCAATCCAACGTCCATGCAAAAGAAAAAACCAACCACGAAAAATCAGGGAGTAGAAAGGAACCAGCCACTCTACGTATAGGCGCCCACCTTCGACATTCCATTAGGAAGAAGCAAAACATCGGCGAAGAGAACTTCTCCAGCTGTACAACGTGGGAACACCCCCCAGTCAGCCTCAAATCAAACCAACAACTCTCAATATCACCCCCAATTGCAACGACCCTGCTCACCCTGTCTCATAAAATCTTTAAGGTGATGCCACTTGACATCGTAGGAAAGGTTGCCCACATAGACCCGACGGTCTTGCTGGGACGAGTCGCGAACGGTTTGCATCATGTTCTCTTTGGCGACGGTGCGATCCTCAAATCTGGCAGGCGGATAACCACTGCGTCCACCGTAAGGCGAGCCCGACGGTCCAGCAGCACCGGAGTTGCTCAATGGGGAGCGAGAACGACGTTCGGGGGAACGACGATCAGGGCGACGGTATTCGTCACGGTCACCACGGTCACCACGGCTGCGAGAACGGCTGCGCGGCGAATACGAACGACGGGCACGTCGGGGACTGCGAGAAGAACGACGACGAGGAGAACGAGATCTCTCGCGCTGTACGTAGTCAGACATGACGAATCGGATATATGAGGGCGGAAATGGAGATGGGAAAATGGGGGAAGGTGGTGCGGAAGGCAGTCGCATTGCGCTCCGAGGGGTGGGTCTGGGTCATGTGACCCGCTCTGGGGGAGGTCTCAGTTGAGGACCTTCCGGGGTTTGGAGCTTGGGGGCACTCGCGCACACGTTCCGCGCACAGCGCATGAGCTCTGAAGTCAAAAGCGGTGCCATGGAAGTTATTTCTTTCCAGGCACCGGATCACATCCGGAGGATATCTGATCAAACAGACGTGGCGGTTTCCGCCCCCGCACTGACCACACCTCATCCGGAGTTCGCAGTTCGCAGTTCGTAGGGAGATATTGTATGTTGAACCCGAGGGGAGGTGTAGAAGAAGAAACGAGATCAACTTACTTGGTATGGGCGGTAGACGTCTGCTTGGGAAGGTAGTCAATATCCAAGAAAACGAGAAGGGGGATGAGAAAGGAGAGGGGAAGGAGATGAAAGGATCAGGCGTCAAGGTTGGGGGGTTAGCAGGTGATTGGATGGGGGAACGACCGGGGACCTCGAGAATGTAGAGTAACGAGTAATACAGTACGAAAAAGAAAAGTGTAATATAACTCACCCATGGTGTCGAGATGCGTGGAGGTAAGAACGAGGGAAGAAAGAAAGCGGAGAAGAAAAGAGTGAAGAGTGAGGAGTGAAGAGTGAAGAATAAAGGCGTTGAGGATCCTCAAGTCTCAAGGTCTGAAGTAAGGAAGAGAAGAAACATGATCTCTGATACTTGACACCTCGGGGAAAACCCGTCACCGCCCGGGCGAATGTAGAGCTATAGCTCTGTAACAGCGATTGAGCCAAGTTACCAGTATAACCAGTATGGGAATATAATTCTTTGTTACTGCAGTATATGTGAGGGAGTAAGTACTCCCTTGGTACCGATTATATGTAGGCCACCTACAATATCTACCTGAACACTACCTATCACGTGGCCGCCCTTGCCGTGGGCCAACACCTGCATCTACATGTACTGGCGGCACGTATTTCAGTTACTCCAAACTGCCACGGCCGGTATTGACCGGCAGGATGCAGATCAAACAGAGACAGTCGTGTTCCATTTCATCTCACTAACTCAAAGCGTAAACCCCCTCAAATCCAAAGAATGGGAATCAAAAGAGACAAATCCAACTGCGCCACACCCTGCCGAAAACGAACGCCTTGCAGCATAGTAAATGCTGTAGAAACGAGACTATAACAGTCTGAACGAGAGGACCAAAACGCCTAAACGCAACTAGGACGTGTTGTGAGAGGCAAGGTCGGGGTACATGTACAGACAAAAGAAAAGATGAAAATATAGGAAAGATGGGAAGAGATGCGGGAAAAGGATACGGAACGGGATGCGGAAAGAGTATCAGAAAACATAGAGAGAGAAAGAGGCGGGAGATGGATGTGAGAGAAGGGACCATCTATGCAGCCACATTGGTAGGGGGATAACGCCCAGGAATCTTCATATCCAAGGCGACAATGCTGTCAGCCTTAGGACGAAGCAACTCGGGTGGGATCTTTCCAGGAACCCCACCAGAAAATTGGATTGAATCATCTGCCAGGCCACGGTATGGGACTCCAGCAGCCAGAATCTTGGGAACCTCATGGTTACCATCGACCGAGGTAGCGTTGGTGTAGTTTGTATAGTCCGTAGTGTTAGTGTTGGTGGGTGCTGTTGATACGCTTTCACGACGGGCCACCTGGGGAGGAGCCGAGTGGTCACGACGGTCAGCGATACCAACATTCGAGATGGCAGCAAGAGAAGCGGCATCTCCGTCGGAACGGATGGCCCGTTCATCTGGGTTGGAAGTCTCCTGCTGTGCCTGCTTCTGCTTGGCTACTATTGCTGCCGGTCCGATCCAGTCGCCGTAATAGCTATCGTGTTGAGTTATTGGGGGGCGAGATCGCTCCGTTGATTCCTCATTTCCCTGGTAGGCCCGGTAGGAACTGGTGTCTTTCTCGCGGCTACCCGGCGGCTGTGAGCCGTCGTCAATGGCACTGGAGCCGTCACGGTATGACCCGGCCGCGGCTACCATATCTCGACCAGCGGAGCTGTCCCCGCTTGATGGTGACAAGGGCGCCTGGAGGTGACGGTCGATTTGGACGTCACTGGGAAAGGCACCCCCGGGCTGTCGAGTGGCAGTGGTTGGTCGTTCGGAGGCCAATACCACAGAGCCCGCGGAGTATGGGGTGCGATCAGCCTCATCATCCTCCATCACCTCATTGTTCATTGATCTGCCGCTCACGCTGCGGACGTGCTTCCGCACAAAAGCATTGCGCGCTTCACCTGTCTTGTTGCTCAGGCTCTCGATGTCCTCGTACCATGACATCATGGTCTCGTGGGACTCGGCGCGGAAGACCCACGAGTGGCCCCGGTGCATCGCTCCAGTCTGTCGGCCTTTCAGCATGAACTTGTGAGAGCTCGAGTCTTCCTGTGAGTGGGAGCCGAGCTTCTGCTCTGGCAAGTAGAGCGACATGACTGGAGTCTGCCATGCCACACGATCCGCCGACTTGAACTCATGGAGATGCGTCGGCGACAGAACATACCTGGGATTGATTAGCCAATGGCTATAACGTGCTCACAGTAGGGGACGTACCATCCAGGAGTATAACTCTTGAGATACTTGCTCTTGCGCTCTAACATTCCAGCTCTGATCTCGGCAGCAGCCGGATGATCCTTGCCGGGGTAGGTGATGTTCTCCACATTCCGGAGGGGAATCCGAGGATCAACCAGCTCGTCGGTGTCGGCGACAAACGAGTTCCACTCGTGGTCCTGGGGCATGGAGATCGGACCCGTCTGGAGCTTCTCTACGGTGTCGAGAGCCTCATTGGCCTCGCGACGGAGGATACTTGCGTAGGCATTGTATGCTTTCTGGATCTCGCTCACGACAATCGACTCAAGCTCACGGCCCGAGTTCTCCAAGTTCAAAAAGGCCTGTAGATACGTTAGTTCCGCGGTCAATTGGTACAACGTAAGGTATCACGAACCCGGTGTAAGTAGTTCTCCTCCTCAATCTGCTTTTCAACCTGTTTCTCCACATTCAGACGCATGATGAATGGATCATTCTTGCCAGATGTTGCGGAAGGATCAGTATCGACAAGCCCGAGAGCCTCGTGCAAGTTTCGCACAGACTTGCGTGTACCGTCGATCTCCTTCTCGACGGTATTCTTGAAATCACCCGAGAGGTTCTTGATCTCCTTGGTCTTCTTCTGGAGATCGCTACGCAGACCAGTCAATTGGCTGATCACTTCCACCTCCACCTCAACAGCCTTGTTGGCCTCCGTGTAACCCTGTCGGTGGAAGTCACGGAGGATCTCAGTCGCATCGGCCAGACCACCAGACTCCAGGAACCCCGGCGGCAGACTCTGGTTATTGACGACATTGGACGCAGATAAGAACAGCTTCGCTTTAGTTTCGTAAGATTTTTGCACTTCCTTAAAGAAAAGAATCAAGTCCTTGAGGACCTTGCGCCAAGCTACAGTACTCGTCAGCGAGGTTCCATAGGGTACGCGCGAATGGGGTCAACCCCACCTCCAAACCGGCTTGCCAGCACTTCGGTCGGGTTTCCCGTGGTCGGGATGGGGACCATGAAAGCGCTATTGGTATCGTCTGAGCCTTCAGTGTGATACTTTTCCCGATCGCCCAGGCTCAGACTGCGCACACTACCTGCGCGCATGCTTCGGCGGCTCCCATTCCGTCGCAAGCTGCCCTTCTTGCTCAGGGAAGCCTTCTTTCGCAAAGTACTCGTGCGGGATGGGGTCTCGGAACGCACGCGGGACATTTGCGAGACCGAGCGCTGTTGCGCCGGGTTATCGAGCGCGACCGAACTGCGACGGCTGGGGGTATCGAAGTTCTCCCTAAACCGGGGATTGTGGGGAACTTGGGTTGATTCGAGGGCACCGGTGCCGTAGTATGCTGAACTGCCCGCGAACGAGTTGGGTCGGGAGGATTGGGATCCGTATCTGCGACTCAGGGCTCCTGGGTCGTTGGGCTGCGGGATCATGTATGCATCCTGTGAGGGCGTCTGCGGCCGCGCGGCCATCGCCATGTCGGGAACGTGGTTTACAGTTTATGATTTATGCCGGTCGGAGGATAAGTTGAGAATGGTAGATAGTCGTAAAAGGGAAAGGAAAACTCAAGGATCTTAGCTCCAGAACTCCTGAAGTGGCGCCTTTTGGTTACCAGGCGAACGGAGGCAAATATTGCGGGGAGTAAGACCCCACTCGAAGGTCAGGGGGAATAAGGAGAAGATCGAAATTGCAATCAATGTGCATGCGAAATGTAAAATGCAAATATGCAGCGATATAGGGAATTTAGGAAGTCAAGAATGAGATGACGTCTACGGCTCTCAAGAGTGATGACGCCCAAGATCGGGATGCCCGGGAGAGGGGAACTTAAGTCTTTGACGTATGGATCGGAATTCGAAGCCGCTTCCAATTGACTAAATTATTGACAAGTTAATTATATTATACGTTACTTGGTATAACCTTACTGCTAGTTCAACTGTTATACTGTAGCCGCTCAATTTGGCTGCCTGCTGTGGCTGATGAGCTGCGCCCCTGACTATATATCTTAAGGCCCAAGTTCTCCAGTTCGCTCCACTCAATAGGGGTTAATCATTGCCACCAAACCCCCTGATCTCACAAGCGATGAACAGTGCATGACGTCGAGATCTGGGGAGAACACACTTGGAAGGCGCTTCGAACTTTCGCCCCTTGCTCTGCTCTTCCGGAATACCTTCATCTGGGAACGTACCTCACTTCGATTTATGGTTCTTGGGTTCCTGTCTGACTCGCAACTATACACCGAACCAACCATGCCAAACCCAGCATGCAGGTTCAATGGTCGACTCAAGGGGCCCGGGCGTACCAGGATAAACCTGCTTCGTAGTTATTCCGTCATATATCTTGCTTAACTGTAGAATGAAACAAGTCATGGACTTGGGTAGATAGCGCTATTACATTCGCCTGTAGGG